CAGTTTTCTTTTCAACCAAAAATACACAACTTAAGTAATATTTGTAATTCAGTCAAGTTATTGATCATCTTTAAGATTTCAATAGAAATCAATTCACAATCAGTGAGAGAAATAGGCACAGAGTAACACTTTGGATATTGAATAAATCAATAATAAAAGGATTCAACAGGTTAATACAAAATGTAGTTTGAAAGCTTATAATTCATGTTATTAGTAATTAGAGAGCAGATTAAGGATGAACTCATTGGAGGTACGTACTGTTGATAAATCCCAAATTCAACCGAACTAAAATTTTCTGTGTATCTCACTTTGTGCTATTTCTTAAACCATTACCATTGAATTTTATGAAACCCATTATTGTGTTAACCATCCGGTCAATAAACCAAACAAACCTTAAAATTTTCAGGGTTACAGTCAGAACATCAAAAGGCTCTATAAATCTCTGTCAGTAACTTGTATTTTACACTCATAACTTGTGAGATCATCCCGTTATATTATTGAATCAAAGCATGTCAAGTTCTAAATATTAATAGGTACAGAACTTAAGGTATATAATAAGTAGTTAGTTTCCATTAAACAGAATCGAACTCAAAACCTGAGTCCAGGTATAATTTGAACTGATAGCTCCCATACATAGATACACATTTGAATATAGACAAATAAATCTAAGGAATTCAAATCTATCTCATTCTCCACTCTGTCTCATTGCCAGAGATCACAGCCAAACTGTTTCATAAATTACTCAATGCCAATTACCATAATTTCGCACTATGCAACCATTGCCGGGCTTGGTATTAATTAGTTTTTATTATAGATCAATTACCAATTATGTTACGTGTTATGATGTTCCTTTTAGATATTAAATTTTGTCAAGCTGCACTCTATGACTGTTTTGAAAAACACACCTAAATACTGAATCTTAAATTGATTTGTGAAATGAAATGTGGATTTTAAAATATTGAAACAAAAAACTAGTTATAGATTGTAGTTTTGAATAGTAATTGCTAAATTCCTATATATTTATGAATCTACTTGTAACTATGACAGAATCCAATTGAGTAACGCTCAAACTATGAACGATATTTCTTTGTTTTCTACAACTAAACTTGATTGGCATTAATAATCTTCCTGATCTCTGAGTAAACATTTTAATAAAGTTGAATGATTTTATTTATGTAAGCCGTACATAGATAATAATGAAATTGTTATATGATGATATTATCATTGAAAAATTCAAGTTGATCCATTTAGTTATTTAGCTAAATATATTACACCTGAAATAATACATACGGACCAATTCATTGTACATAGAATATTTGACCAAAATACAGAACAAAACAAAACATAGTTATCTATTTAACATATTATGAATACAGTGGTCTTGAGTGCTGTCAGAGGTATGAGGGCGGTTATCACTTCCCGGTTGCCCACACCGTGGAAGGGTTCTTTCGGAGGTACCTGAAGAGGAAATTGGATTAGAGGTGGTCTTAGTGACCTGAGAGCGTGACCGCAGTGCCCAAGGAACAACTGCTTGAGGTCGGTCACACACGACCTTTTCATGGGTAATTTTTGTGCTATCTCCGTACTTGTTGAGACCTTACCGCCGGAGACGGTTATCCATGGGATAAGGCAAAATGTGAATTTTTAGGGTCGACCTTTTCTAACCTCACCCCTCCTTGTGGGAATGCAGCATTGCTGCAGATGCTGGTTGTCTGAAGAAAACACTTTATTGCTGTCACAGCTCTGTACAGTCAGCAGTACGACTTCGCCTTCGGATCTTAGGTTTGTTGTTTTTAGTCTTACCGCTCTTCAACCGACCTGTCTGACATGGTAGGACCTTGAGGAACGGTTGTTCCAGCCAATATAGCTCGGTTGCTTCATCACGATAGGCAAGCCCGACCACCACGTCAAGGTAGCAACAACGTTCGGGTTTTTAACATATTACAGTCATCTTTATTATCATCTGATCTAATTTATGAATGAGCTAGGATTTATCTCTGGGATTGTTAATAGCCTTCAGCATATTTCCTAGATTCAGTAACAGTAATAGTTTACTGTAGACGTTATCCACTACTACATTATACTGATAAATAAGTTAGTCAATTTTTCTCAGTGAAAAAAAACATTTTCAAAACGCTACGAAGCACCTAGAACTGACCAACTGCAATAGAACACTAGCATTTATCTCATGGAAAAAATGAACTCTATTCAATTGTTTGTATTATCATTTTTATCGCTAATGCTATCATGTGAGAGCTTCCTAACGAAGAAGGATATATTGACGCTTGAACACTCCTTATTCACCTTTAGTTAAATCTAATGTATTTACACTGAACCTGTCGAATAGGGAACAAACGCGTAACGGATGTATATAGTCTATTGAGTTTTTTCTAGAAATTCTACATAAAAAAAACAGATGAGCTCAATAGCGTCAAATGAGTAATAATTTTTTATACTACTTGTGAGTAGGAGAAACTTATCATAACGTACCACTAAGTCATTTACTTACCTGGTCATTATACTCTCTATTTTCACTCTTTTCTTACTAAATCAATATCATATTCTTCAAGATATCACGCGAGATCCGATTAGTTATAATGTGAAGAGGATATGTTGTTCATCTAGGAGGTTTATGTTGAAAAGAAATCACAAAGAATATTGTCATTTAACGGTTGTATCTAAGTTTATATTCTGTCATGACAGAAAAGACCCTTCTCGTTGTAAAAGATATAATAACTCCAAATAGTCGGTATTATAAAGATTATTCTCTTCAATAGTGATAGAGAATATCGCTATGATAAAAATTATTACAACACATTTACATCCCTGTGATGTACCTTACGAGTATAAACCTAATAATGTATTATCCAAGTTTGATATTTCTCAACAATCTACATCCCCAACTTCATAAATGATCTAACTCATAAGCTTGTGTTGGGCATGTTACAATTCAAACATTAGATTTTGACCGATAGCCTCCACTTTTTATGTCCAATCACTTGACCTAATACGATGATCATCATCAAACATCAGTGGATTCTTTATTTGATGATACTTAAAAAGGGAAATTACTTTCAGACATTTATCAACAGAATTTCACTGTTTAATTTATAAAGTCATAACTTTTATAGAATAAGACTTTTAAGCTAATAATTTTGTACAAGACATAATCCAGATTTATTTAATCTTGTAAAATTTAAGGGTATTCATATGATTACTAGATGAATGAAACAACATTTGGTAGGTAAATGTAAAATCTTGTTAAGAAAACAGATAATTCACAATTATTTGCCCACCTAGTATAAATAATAAAACTGATAATCATAATCTTTTGTTTTTATTATAGATCTATTCACTTCCGAAGTAATAAAATATATCTATATATTAATTACACTATTTTAGTTTGAATTGGTTGTAATCCCTTATTACAACGGAAAATAAACCTCTGTATACAAATTCTAAATTGACGTCAGTAGGAACAAAACATTGAATACTATGGTGTAAATTATATACGACCTTTTTTTCTTATAAAATCAACCAGATTAAGGAATAATTTATGAAAGTAAGAAATATCTTTGTGTACCAACCATATGTGGTCAAATTAAAAGAAGATAATCATTGTAACTGATAATAACCAACTCTATATATGATTAATTTATTAGGATGTATAATATACATTTTATGTGTATTATTTAGTTGTATTAATTATGAGGTCAGTTATGATCCGAACAGTTTAATGGTAACGTGTCAGATTGTTAAGCTGAGTGATACAGATTTGAGCCCTACAAGGAGTATTAGTCCCATCAAGATTACAGATATATCTTGATAGTTAGCATGAAATTTAGGTCTATGGTCTCCTATCGACTATCCAATATAATGATCTGTGAACTTATGTTGAAAAGTTTTTGGAGATTATTTAAACTGAAGATGATTTACATCACGAACTAACTTAAGATAGGTAATTGTTGAAAGCTACGGCGCATCAAGTAAGGCACTCCAGATGTTTATGCTTCAAGGCGAGCACATAACCCATAAACAAGTGAGTCCGCCGTAAGTATTAATGTGATACTATTAAAAAAGCCCATCTGTTATTAAACTAACGGAATACATAATAAGCTTATGATTTTATGCTTCTTGTCAACCTTAGTGAAATGAATGCCTCTTCAGATATTCAACAATACTAACCGACTAAAATAAATAATAGATTCATGAACGGAAATATTTTGAGTGCAAGAGAATCGAACTTATGAGGTATGTAAAGGTTATTAGAATTACATGAATTTATTTGATACTAACAGATTCTCATCAACCATTTACGACCTGAAAAATTGCAATATAGGTCCTCTGTTACAATCCTAATCAATGAAATCTCGATACTTTTACAATATAGATCATAAACTATACCTAAGCCAGATATTAACCATTATAAAATAATATTTTTACGGTGACACACTATCATACTACTACTTAGTAGTATTATTTTGTCCCAAATCAAACTTCTGGGCTTTCTTGAACTAGTCATCAGTATCCTATTAGTACATATTGCAAAGTATGAACACAAATATGTACATATTCATTTGACACTTAAATATCATACTATTCCAACTTAACCATTATGTATAATCAGTTTTCATGAGAACAATATTCAGTTTTACTTATTCAATTTAATCTTCCCACTATATAATAATTGGGGCTACTTGACCAGCTTATTTTCATCTGGATTCTCATATTCACGTATTTAAAAAAATACACAAAATTTCCTTCTTCTCAACACTCAGATATCATTAGCTATATAACATTTGTATAGGAGAATATGTTCATTTTGTTAATTTAAGAAAACTATAGTAGTATTCTCCGCCTGTAGCTCTTCTAGAGTTACTGCCGGTCCCAAACCCGGGAAAAAAAAGAGGGTTGGTGTTATGTCCCGATAAGCATAATGAATGGTAACTTTTCGGATCCATTTATCAGTCAATACTATACGTACATTTTTATCGTATAATTGTCAAATAACTAAACTATTCATATTCATATCCCTCTTATTATGAGCTTTATTTTGACCTATGAACTATTATTATACGATTTACCATTCATGAATTATTCCCTGTCTGTTAATCGCTACCTCCCTCATTCACAGTCACATCCGGCTAATTCTTGTACAAATGTTGTTTCATATTGTATTGGTGCGTTGTGGTCGGTTTGATTGGTATATAAACTCAGTATGCTTGAAATATAATGATTCATATCTCAGAAGCTGAGATTGGTGTTCTGGACTTAACTAGTTGGGCTAGGCAGGAAGCAGGACCAATAAGAACTCTAGACTGCTCGTACGTGTTTTATGTGTCATTGGTCCGATTGATAATTCACTGCTCCCTAATTAGAGGTATCATTATGTATACATTAATGGGGCACTCATGCCACAAGTTATAACATTTGGGCATAGGGTTAGCGACCCCATCCTGTAGGAAACTAACTCGTTAGAAAAACACTAACCAGGAAAAAATAATTCAATAGTAGTATTGTCTAAAAAAAGAAAATTGAATCTGTACAATTTACATTCTTATTTCGTTATTTACTACAAGAAAATAGAATTTGTTAAAGACATATGAAGATGGTAGTTTAGAGAATGAATAATTCGTTCTTTTTTTAAAAAATAAAATGCTGTTGGAAAAAAGATTTTCTTTAAAAATTGGTTCTGTTTATTCAATATCATTATCATCATCATTGACATCAAATGGTGAAAACATTTTTCGGAAATGTTTAGCTAAATCAGTTTCTTCATCTTCCTCATCTATACAATCATGCCAGTCGGCTTTTTCTGGACAATTTAAAATACGTGGATCTGTTAGAACAATACTGTAAATAGTAGAAATAGTAGAAAGAATGTAAGAAAGGGACAATAACATATTAGTTGTAAATATAGTAAAAAATGTATTAGATGAATAAAGAATTCAGTTGATTTAAAATCTACAAATTAATGTGTTAAGTAATAAGAGTTAGTCAACAGGGAACCCTAGACCTAAATTTTATGATAGCTGGTACTCGTTAGCAAAGTGCACCTGCAAACTTGAAGAAATTTTTGTTCGTTTTGTGCACTTCGAACCCGTGCCACTCAGATTTACACTGTCTGAAACGTTACTGCTAAGTTGTTCAGGCTACGACTGACGTTTACACAAGCACCTTGCTGATGAGTGTCAAACGAGATGGAACCTAGATATAGAGTTTCCTACTGACTATTCCAACTACCTAACATCTCAAAGTAGTGCATGTAATGTTGAGCTACTTAGACTAGTGGTTACGTAGTAACTTGATTGATAGAATTCAATTAGCACTAAAAAAGATTAGACAAACAAGTCATTAGTCATAACTCGGTGATCAACTAATTGTACAGAGATCAATGAACTGGATTATGGACAGCGCATATTGTTTGATGTTTTGTAGTGATAGTTATGGCAGCGTTATTCATTTACAGTGGGTAGTTTTGAGCCGTTTTCTCGTTACATTAAAATCAGTGATACAACCCGACTGTTCAAACAAAAGTGAATAGGACACGAACTTCCAACACAACACCAGTTGAAAATCGAAAATTATGAAAATTACGCGTCCGCTCTCCTGACATTTTATGTACACTTAATTACTCTTATACACCGTTAGGTGGAACAGGTTACAGAATCATAACTCACTGAACTAAAGCAAAAGTCTGCAGTACTATATTAATCAGTCAGTCACAACATGGAACCTGTTACGTATGTATATCGGTTCTGCAAGTTGCTATACATCATTAGCACAGAGATGAAATTGCCGGGCAAAATTCGAAAGCACTAGAAGTAGTCACAGTAGCAGTGGTAGTACAAAAGATCAAACATCGAAGAAACGACTCGAGAAGGAAATACGGATTGGTGAAGCAAAAACAATGATGAATTCAGAAGCTTGGAATTTGAAGAGGAGACAGAGAATGGATATACCTGAGCCGTCGCAAACGATTCTGAGCCATGTCATTCAGAATCTTCAGATATTGGTTATTATCATGTAGACCCCAAACAGGTAGTCTACACCTATGGCTCAGTTCAATAGTCAATGATTTCGTAGAATTATGCCATGTTTTGGTTTGGTCACCTCTAGTTTTCTTCCAGCCTACTCCTACACCAGACAACATTGGCTGTCGAGGTAGGCAGTGGTTGGATTATTTATTTATCTATTTATTTTAACACATAGATATTGGTACTAGGAGGCACCAAATACATATGCACCACACAGACGTCATTTGATATGTGTGAGGACTGTGATACTGCCCGGGTGCCCAAGCCGAAGGAGGTTGGGTATACATAAAACATGTCCCGATGAAGACTTACTATATATACTGACATACTTGAAATCCGGTAATCATGTAAATTTATATGTGGTATTTAAACTGTGGATCACGATCACTGAACGAGTCCCATTCAAAGTAGACGATAACCACCACGAAACCTACAATAATCTCCTAATACTAATGAAATCTTGTAGATGAAAGATTCACCCTTTAACAGGTTTCGGGACAAAAGTTTATACAAAAACTCGACATGAGAGTGGTAATCGATTTAACCTAACGACAGATCTTATGGAAGTATCTGCCGATGACGGGCCTCCCAAAGAAAGAAGTCAACCCTCTAAGGCTCGTGCATTTTAACATCATTGATCGAGACGGAACTTATGGAAAACTGTCATGGTGATTAGCTGAGTCAAGCGATGTTTCTCGAGGAAATCCACATTCGTTTCTGCTTAGATTTGTTAAACAAATGTCTTCTTATGATAACATCTTTTCTTTGACTTTCAGGAAGCTAACCTATGTGAATTTTTACCTATTAACCTAAAGTAAGCAGATAAAACAGTTTTGTCTGGTGAAATTCTTGATATAATGAGATATTCTGAATGCCATGGGTAACTATCGAGGAATAAGAGAAGTGACTTTGTCTCTTTCCAAATACGAAATTTACTCTACTAGCTGTTTTAGTCAATGTCTAGTCTAAGCAGTTTAAAGCATTGACCACACCATTCATTTTGGAAGTCCTGATAGCCCAGAATTTGTGGTTGCAGTCAAAAGCTCCCACGATATGCATTGTCTACAGGGTAGGTGAGGTGTTTACCTGAACATCACAGCGAGTCTACTAGGAAACTGTTCCAACTGTACTACCATAATTTTGTGAAATGTAGTCCCTGAGAGTGGAGAACAGGTACATGTCCTGAGTAGCTGACCATACGGGTTGACAAAGCATCGCTCGGAAATGGTAAAAATGATGTCGAGGTTAAATGCAAGACTTAAATAAAAGTGGGGAATTAATTGGTGAGGCTGAAAAACCTCTGAAACAGGAGCGGTTATGGGGTGTAATACACGTACATAGTAACAGTTCACTAAAGCATGTGATGCTGACTGGCATAAAAATGTATTAGAAGACTAGTGGAGATCAAACTAATACGCAACATCAGTCCGTGAAACCACTTACGGCTAGTCTAAGCTTTGGGTGATAAAGCTCAAAAGCGATATTAGTTCAATTCACTCCCCTAAATATTGCCCTTAGTGTCATCCTATATATCATATTACTGTAACTGACATCAGTACTATTGTTCTGACTCCTCGATTTCTTATGTTATTAATTTACCTTACTCTTGCACTTAGATGAGATATGATAACTTCGACCGGTAACCCGTTCGTATTAGGTCATATGCTGTGTACACCCAGTAAACTTATGACAAAAGCTTTTTTGATTCAAATTAATTAGCAGTAATACAATGAACATACCGACCAAATTGTAAGTTCGCACTGGAAATACGATCTTTTGGAATTCGTCCAAAAAGTTTCTCACCAGTAGGGAGTTCAACAAAAAAGTAGGGAATTCCAACCCTACAAATCTGTATTAAACAGTTATAAATGGGAGAGTTTGCATTATACAAACATATATAACGATAGTTACTGAATATATAAAAGAAATGAAATCTAATGAAATTTTCGGACAAATTGTAGAATCCGAAAACGAAAAGGGACTAGCAATAAATAACGAAAAAGATAAACTAGGAGAAAAAAAAGAATGTGATTATGTGAACGATAGTAACAACAACTGAAAAAATTAGTTCAAACTGAGAATAACCTGGAGTTTGAGAATAGAAGTAAGTCATTCCTATTGTTCAATATGCGAATAAAAATGCCAACAAATCAAAATTTCTAGTACTATCATGCTGATGAGTGATTTATTTATTTATTTAAACACATAAACATTGGTACAAAGAGGCCCCAAATACATATGCGCCACACAAATCTCATTAGATATGTGTGAGGGCTGTGATACTGCCCGGGTGCCCAAACCGAACCAGGTGGTTATATTAGGGGGCCACTCCCCGAGCCTTCGACCTGAAGGTCTGATCCACAAGGCAGTGGAACATCGTGAGGAGATGCAGTCCCATGGAAGCCGGCGACCAACAATTGGTTCATACGCCATTTGTTCCCGCACGATACTGGAGCCCATGTGCACCATTGGTTTGGGATCCGGTTAAGGCACCGGACATTCGCTTTTCGTTCTCTCACTTTCGTAAACAACACCCCCGTCACGAGAAGGCAGTGAGTAGGACTTCCCTGGCAGAAGCTATATACGCGTGGCCATGTGAGAGCATTTGGAGAGGGAGAACGGACTCTCCCCACTCTCGGCCGTACCAAGGTATTTGGGGGCGAAGATATTAACGTTTTTTACTCTAGCGATTATCTTTTGAACCTTTCTGAATTTCTATTTACCATTTATGAACCTTGTAAGTTATGATCGAGGAGTGGTTTCAAAAAGAACTAATTCCTAGTTTTAAAGCTAACCTTCAATTTATACTGTATACATTTTTTGAAAATAATTTTAAAGTTAAACCACGAAAATTTACAAAACATACTTCATCTAATTCTGTCCGTCGAGGAACTGGTTTCAGTTCGCATGGACTAAAATCAGTATTGGCAGATAGCTCGAGAAATACCTGTTTCACCTCCGCTGCAACTGAAAATGGTACAGGAACAACCTTCAGTGAATAAATAAAACCATAAACAAAGACGTATACGATTGTTAAAAACATCAAAGTAAAACATGTGCACAGAAAATGTTAAACATCAATGATGCGAAATAACTGAGGTTAAAACTATAACTAGAGTGTTCTTATTATTAAAGGTACAAAAATTTAAACTGATTTACTGAGATCGAAACTACAACTCAGATAACAATGTAAATTGATTAAAAATCAACTTTTTTAAAACGATTTAAATCACAAACTGATTGCAGTTGGACAATTATTGGAAAATAGGGAGAACTAAATAACCGTTTCCTCTTTGTACACGACCTCAAAATAATAGTTAACACGAACCCACCGACGATCGAGACCAGGACCTCAAGCTCTCCCAAATAGAAGCGTTGTGTCTGAGTTGCCGTCCAAAAACTTACATTTAAAACCTGACAACTAATTGTTCAGGTGAAAATCAGGTTCAAGAAACAAAAGCCAGTAAATGGATACACAGCCCCTATTTCTTCATACTCACTTGAAGTTGATAATGTTGGGTTTTTAAATTTCGTTCAAATGTTACCATCGCTTTATCTTGTGCAGCATACATACGTTTTAACCGGGATTTATATTCTTCAATTTCCGAACGAACATATTCTGGACAAGAAATCCAGCTTTGATGATGACCAATAGTCAAAATTAATGCATGGTCAGGTACAATAGGACCACGTGGTAATGCTACATAAGCTTGAGTACCAATACTAACAATTAAATGTTTTTTCACTTGTGGATTACCTAAACAAACCAACAAGCTGCATGATTTCTGTTTTCTGTAACAAAAAATAAAACATCAGCAATGATATTCTGAAAAATAATAAAAAATAATAAAATTCATATGTGAGAAGGAAAATGGGAGTAGGATAGCCTTTCTAGATGTTCTACTTTCAAGGAGAAAAGACGGGTCACTAAGAAGAAACATAAACAAGAAAACTACTTGGACGCGCCAATATACAAAACTTCTTCGTTTTGTTCCTCTGCAATACAAAAGAAACCTTATTAAAACACTGCACCATAGAATCCAGACCATATGCTCACTATATACGGTCGAAGATTAAACAGGGACATTATACACAACCATGAAAGAAAATGAATATCCTGAATAATTTATAAATAAAAACATAGCCAATAAAAGAGAACATAGGGAATACCTAACGGTGAATAAAGAGCCTCTGTATATACGCTTACAATTCAGAAGCGATGCACTGAGCTTAATGTTAAGACTGAAGTTAAGCAGATCAATTCAAAGTACTTTTAATGCGATTCTCCCCGTCGAAATGCAAAATGTTACTTCAGGATTGGGTTGCATCGACACCCGAACTAATGATAGGGAGTGAAGTAGTTGAGCGTGTTGACCGATTCACTTATCTTGGAAGTCTCATCAGCCCTTGTGATCTGGTGTGTGACGAAATCTCAGCACGGATACAGAAGGCTCGACTAGCTTTTACCAACCTGCATCATTTATGGCGTAGGAGAGATATCCGTCTACCAATCAAAGGACGGGTTTACTGTGCAGCAGTTCGTTCCGTCCTGCTTTATGGCTGTGAAACATGGCCGGTCATAGTAGAGGATATTCGTAAGTTACTAGTATTCGATCGTAGATGTCTTCGAAACATTGCTCATAAATCCTGTGACCACCGAGTAGGTAACTCAGTTGTTAGGAAATGGGTACTAGGTAAGGATGATAAATCAATTGATGAATTAGTGAAACTTCATCAGTTGAGATGGCTTGGACAAGTGTTACGTATACCCAACCATCGACTGCCCCGATGTGCGATGTTTTATGGTGTAGGAGTAATTTCGAAGAAAGCTAAGGGCGGCCAGACCCGAACATGGCACAAATCCATGAAGTGGACTGAGCCATGTTAATAGGTGTAGAGTACCTGGGATATACCTGGGATACACGAGACAATTGGCAGCCGATGGTTAGAGACCCTGAATGACATGGCTCAAAACCGTTTGCAATGGCACAGGTTCATCCACACATTGTGTTCTCCCAAATTCTAATCTTCTGAATTCTTCATGTCCTTTATGTTAGGATAGTCGGAAAAAGAGACCAATAATTATCATGTTAAGTTCAATGGTGTCCTTGAACCTTAAATGTACATTTCTTATTGGTCGATGTTTATTTCACTTGTTAAATATTGTACAAATGTTGTTTCCTATTTTATGGTACGATGTGGTTTGTTTGCTTGGTATATAAATAGAGTATGTTTGAAATACAATGATTCATAACTCCGAGGCTGTGACTTGTGTTCTTCACTCAACTGGGCTAGGACGGACAGCGAAGCAGGGCCAATCAGGACACTAGGTCGTCCGTACGTGTTTTCCGTGTCACTGTCACAGATCGCGATCGATAAATAAACGCTGCGTATCAAGAACCTGCAGTCACACACACGTTACAACCTTTATTTTCTTTCTGAATTTATTTCACTGTACTACACTCCCTGAATAACATCTTCAAACCCTAATCTTTCCTATTACTGCTTATATTCTTACTACCTCTACCACTACGGGAATTGAATCGATAACTGCATCTCTGTGCTAATGTGGTATGGCAACTCGGACTGATGTACATACGTACGGAGTTCCACGTTGTTACTGACTGACTGACTGAGCCACCTCTTTCTGTATCCAGCTACTCCTGTGGAGCAAGTTATATTGGTAGATGTTCTAGAAATGTGTACATTCGGGCTCGTGAGCACCTCCCAGTGTGGTTAAGCAAAAGTATAGTCAAAGCGGTTAATAGCCTCATTTCAACGCATTTAATTCAGACGGGACATACAGCCAACATGGAGCAATCTTTAGCAATAATGTATCGTGTTAACAGCAGTCTACCTAATTCCTTCACACTGAGAATCTTGCAGACAGGTGAAGCAATTGCTATTCTCCAATGATAACAACAAAAATGTGACTGTGATTAAGGACACTAAGTTCTGTCAGTATTATGTCAAGAACGTATACATAAGTGTCTAGAAAACAAATCTCACTTACTGTCGATTTTCTCTTGAAAACTTTCCTCACTGGTATCATTTTTATCAACAAGTTGTCTTTTGTTGTCATCTGTGTCTTCCAATGTATTAGTGTTTATTTTGCGCTTTTGAAGAGTGCCTTTTTTCGTAAGATTTCCTGATTTTTCGTTGGTATTCATGTTATAAAAGTATTGCTCAGTTTGTACCTCCTAATAATCGATATGAAAACATAGAGCTAATAATTTGGATGCATGTATGTATACTTATGAAGCATAATTCTACCTAGTAACCCGCAGCTGAACACCTTACGACACTTACCACGATATATATATATATATATATATAATATAATAACTGGAATAATCAACTTTGATGTATAATGACCCGCGGTAAGAGTCAATTTGGAAAGATTAAGTCACACAATGACAATTTAATGGATTAATAATAGCTAGTTTAATTTACGTAGAGAATGCCACAATTATTAACGACAATTATAGTTGGAACTTTTTTGGCTGTTCTGTTTGGAGTAGATTTTGACAAAATCCGGTCGTATGTGGACCTTGAGAGACGACCTACGAATCTATGTGCTTCATATATCTTACTATGAATAAATACGTCGCTGTAGTACGAGTTTGCATTATTCTATAATTCAACTTTCAGGAATGAAGTGGTTCGCCAAATTAAACTGAATGGAGAAATATTTTTTCACTTATCTTGTATAACCAATTATCATCATATAGCCCCCGAATGCCCTGGTACGGCCGAGAGTGGGGAGAGTCCGCTCTCCCTCTCCAAATGCTCTCACATGGCCACGCGTATATAGCCTCTGCCAGGGAAGTCTTACTCACTGCCTTCTCGTGACGGGAGTGTTGTTTACGAAAGTGAGAGAACGAAAAGCGAATGTCCGGTGCCTTAACCGGATCCCAAACCAATGGTGCACATGGGCTCCAGTATCGTGCGGGAACAAATGGCGTATGAACCAATTGTTGGTTGCCGGATTCCATGGGACTGCATCTCCTCACGATGTTCCACTGCCTTGTGGATCAGACCTTCAGGTCGAAGGCTCGGGGAGCGCCCCCCTAATATAACCACCTGGTTCGGTTTGGGCACCCGGGCAGTATCACAGTCCTCACACAAATCTAATGAGATTTGTGTGGCGCATATGTATTTGGTGCCTCTTCGTACCAATATCTATGTGTTGAAATAAATAAATAAACATAGCAAAAGCTGTACTAAATAAATGGAAGTATATTATAATCATACATATACACAGATACAAATCCCAAGCCAATATTACTTTCTATGTAGTGTACAACGTTGGCTTTTGCCCCAAACATAATAGTGTCTTTTTGATGTGGATTTCGGTAACGAAGAGCAAAGGATTTCAGAATTATGTACAATCGTAAGCAGTACATGGTAAAGAATGTGAACAAGTAAGATATCTATTTTCGGGTCTTGTAGTTGACTATTTTAAAATCATACGAAAAAAATAGGTAAAAATAGGAATATGCATGTTTCCCATACACGTTAACTACCATATATCTATTAACTAGTTTAACTTACTGTTTCTCTATCTAAAGAATGTTTATGGTCAACAAATTCGCGATATGGATTTTCTGTTACGTCTGGAGGTTGATTTATTAAATCCTGATGATCCATTTTATCAATCGGGATTAACTTGAGAGCATATAAATACTAAACAAATTAGTAAAATTTACATAACAATACCTTTTGGTTACGTTCATTTTTCACATCTGCCAATGATATAAAACGTGTAGTATGACAAGCTTTTTCTTGTAAAACACGGTGATTTCTACAGTCGAATCATAGGAACAAAAAAGTTAGGAGTATCAAACTCCATAAAAATAGAATTTTAAAGCTGGAAGCGAACGAACTGTCTTGAAGAAAATACAACAAGGCCGTAACGATTGTATAAGAACTAATCAAGCCACTTAACTTCAAGAAACTAGTGAAATAAGCGGGTTATGAAACCTCATAAAACAGAGCGGATACAGAGGAACCGTCGCAATAAGGTGTCCCAAAAGAAAGGAGCCAAACAAGCGAAGAACTCTATTGTTTTATATACACGCCGCAGAATGGTTAGCAAAGCTACACTATGATGACGAGCCAATCACCAAAGTGCAAATCGCATCAAGACGGTGTATGTGTCAATACAGCATCTCATCTACCGAGAATAGAATAGAGGTTCATACAGATGAATTGTCGGTCACTGATTATATTGTTTTAACAGAAAAAATATTTGGACCGATTTTAATGACGAAAGCAACACTATATACTTTAAAATTCAACTTCATAGTTAATACTTTGGTTCGGGATTTAAGGTTATGGTTCAGAATAGGGATTAAGTTATACAGTTGGTTTGTCAGTAATCTAAATCTTAACTCCAACCGTTAATTCTACACTTTACACCCTTATTCTCACCGTAAATCTTACACTCAGCATCCTAATCCTAAATTCTAGTCCTAGAGTTACAAATCATTTATTTATATTTGTTGTATTCTGATAAGATGAACAAGGTTAATATGTTCAGCCCATCTAAAGTTACTACAATTTGGCCTTATAGTTCAGCTTTGCCTTATGAGTAACTACAAATGTAGCTACTTATTGTACATACTGCAAGATAACAGATGTTTTGCCAACCTTTTATGAAGTAACTAACAATGACTTCACAAGCAGATTTGCTAGAATCTAAGTTACAGTTGAATCAAATAAATGTTTATTTGAAAACAGTAAGAACCCAACAACAACTAGGGACTATATCTAGTTTGTCTACAGCTAGGATTGTTGGCTATAGTGGCACTTGCGGATGAAGTTTAGAGTTGATATTAGAAGTAGGAGGAATAGTAGAAGCTGAAGAGGGAAGTTGATTATGAATACAGTGGTCTTGAGTGCGTTTGAAGGTATGAGGGCGGTTTTCACTTCATAGTTGCTTACGTCGTAGAAGGGTTCTTCTAGCGGTATCTGAAAAGGAAATTGAGTGAGAGTTGGTTTCAGTGACCTTAGAGAGCGACCGCAGTGCCCAAGGGACAACTGCTTGAGGTCAGTCACACACGATCTTTTAGTGCTGGCTCCATAATTGTTAAGATCTCACCGCCAGAGACGGATATCCGTGGGATACGGTGAGGTGTGTATTTTTAGAGTCAATCTTTTCTAACCCCACCCTTACTTGGTGGGAAGACAGTATTGCTGTCATGCTAAGTAAACACCTTACTGCTATCACACCAATGTACAGTCAGCAGTACGATTTCGCCCTCGGACCTTGGGTTTAGTTATTCTAGTCCTACAGCTCTTTAACCGACCTTGAGGAACGACTATTCCAGTCAGTACAGCCCGAACGATATATCACGACAGGTAAGTCCAACCACCACGTCTAGGTAGCAGCAACGGTTAAGGTTCGCCTACATATAATTAAACCAGCCATACTGTGTTCCATTTATTGTCCAACACAGCGTTTGGACAATATCCCCAAACAATCTAAGAAACGATAGTTTATTGACATTTTGTCTAGACACTTGAGATTTTCACTTGTTAAGAGGAAAAGAAGTAATGTTGTAGGACTATAATTTATGGACGAGCTTTGAGTGACGCTAAAGTGAACTTAAGAGTGTCCACCTAGATCCAACTAGGACAAAATCAGAGTTATAAACTTGTGTGAGGAATCAGAATTATGATTTATAGTTGACAATTAAGGTTATGCATTAGATTCAAGGTTTTCATTACGAACTGGCATCATCTATAACGCCAAAACTTTACTTAGCCAAATTATTGAGTGAGTTTCGCGCTAAAACCCGAGACCTGTTATCTTATACCTCATTGGTACGTCCATAAATTATAGTCTCATCGGTTGTATTATCGAGTAAGATACACAATAAGCTTGAAAATCATGTATTACCTGTATGGTGACCTTTCGTAATACACTCCGTTACCACATGAAAAATGGTACCTTGGTCGAGTGAGATAAGCCAATCGCGAAATTAAAATCGAGGAAGAGTCAATACATTGCTGACAACCGTCAGGGAGTTCATATAGAGTTAGTTTATTAACGTGTTTCGGCCACTGACAAGTGAGCAAGAGATCAACGCCCAAAAAGCCGCTGTCCTCTGCTGCAAGAGCCTCACTGAGTAAACTGGATGGTAGATTACAGTTATCAGAATTAGGTTCCCATTCAGCCATGTATACTACACGTAAACCACTCATAGCCGTATATGTGCCCTTAGAACCTAACAACGATTAAAACGAAATAATCAAATTTACCCAGATACGTGACGTTACTGCAAAGCTCACAACCAGATTCCGTTTGACAAAACTTTCGAGCGATTTCTGTATATGGGGACACGATATAGGTAGGAAGAGACGCTGGAAATAAAAAAAATATAGAAAGATACCTGCCAAACTGCCATCAATTAATTTTTTTATTTCATCAGTTTGAGTTCCAAAAAAGTCTCCTAAACAAAACATCATCTTAATTGATAAAACGTTTGTGAAGAACCTACATCAAACTGTCCAGCGACGTTCATAACCTTAGAAACCCTTGAGTATAGTGCGCTGACTTTCCCTTTGACATCTCCACAGATAAGGCTATTCAATAAAATGATTTTTAACTATAACATACATTTTATGCGACAGACCATCCGGCATCACCTTGAGGTTTGTTAGTTGCGCGTTAGTTCGACCTAGTATAACGTTCAGCAAAAATATATTTGCCTAAAGAAAAAATGCCGAAAAACTTTGTTAACCCCTTTTTAGTGGATTCATGATGCGACGTTTACTAAGGCTACTGCATAAAAATGATCTGAAAGCTTGAATTCTCAGTTCCATGCACTGAATTCAGAGCAGGGAAAAATCCACAGAGATATTAATATTCAATAATTTTCGTAACGACAATATAAAAATCACACTTTTCATTTATAACACTTAATGTACAGACGCATTCATATCCGATATCTAATGTTTATTTGCACTAATAAAAATAGACAATTAATTAATTGGTTAATTCGATGTTATTCAAATAAACGCAACCTCTGTCATCTATTCTTCTGCTTAATCGTCAACAACCTGTGACTGAAAATTTTAATAGCGTTATTACATCCTTTCAGGCAACAGTGTTGGATTTTTGGCCCAAATTGTTATTCAATAACACTGTCGTATTTATATTTCGCGCCACCCCGTCGGTAACACACGTCCAGAGGAGTTTTTACTAATCAAATGAACCAATTCTTGATCTTTATCTCAGGAGGAGCTTTTAAGTAGAGTTCAATTCATAACACCTGTTATCATTTTTTGATTTAATTTACCATTTGTTACCGTTTTGTTCTATCAAAAACCAGACATTCCAGCTTTCATTGCTAATGATTTGGCGTATTTTTAATAAATTTGTATGTTATTATATCTTCAGTAAATTATCTGACTGTGATCCACCACTGATTGATGTTAACCCAGAGAATGGAAGTCCTATGTTTTGTCGAGCCTCGTTCACGATGCCCTTACAGAAATAATTATTATCTGGATAAAACCCTTGCTGCTCAAACATATATATCCTTGTAGACACCATGAAACTAGTATGAAAGTAGTTGCCTCAATTTCGGTAACGCTTTGTGTCACTAATGTCTAGTATCTGATTTGAATTCGTCCTACTACTGTTCATTCTTCTAACATAATATCTTTGTGCTGAATCAAAATGTTAGACATAATAAATGACAAGCAGACGATAACCCTGCGTATCATCAAAGACTGTCTGATCTGTCTTCTGAAGAGGTTCATAGACAAGATATATTCTAGAATATGTTCCCAGGTCCACGTTTTTAGAACAGACAAATGAACGAAAAAGTTTCGAACAGTCAGTCGTGATTGTCACAAGTCCTTTACTGTAGATATTATTAGCTGTAAACTAGATATCTCCGTCCACCGAACCTTCTTTTGAATAAAACCTAGAAATTGGTTGTAACCAGACTCTTGAAGTATTCGAAAGCTCGATACAGGGATCAGTTACTTCCTAGATTGTCTGTATATAAGACTTAAATGTCCCATTCCGACATGCAGAGAAAAATGTAGGTCGAGATAGAAGTTCTCAGAAAAAGTGAGATTAACGATTGTCCAATACCCTAAGATACGGTCGGGAGAAGAAATTCAACCCTTCTGCTCCTGAAGACCGCTGAGATACTTTTAAGTTACGTTCAATCAGTACTTTTCAGTACCCTTCAAACGTCTCAGGAACCCTAAATTTTACTAACTACTGATAAACCAAGATACAGTTTGTCTAAATATCACGCCACTTACCACTTACTATCGAGGCAGTCTGAAAATCACAAGAGATTTCAAATTAACTCAGTTTATAGTGTTTCGATAAGTCCGACTATTTTGATTACCTAGCTGCATCTTTCAGAACAGGGCAAGCTATCTACTAAACTGACATCACTGTTGCTTTCTATAATGATCACAGGAGTTGCTACCTAGGAAGATGAAGCAAAGTCACGAAAAACGTTATCTCCAGGTCATATGACAGAACATAGAATCAGTAAAAACGATTACGTTGACCTAAGCATCAACAAAGTCAACAAAACCACCGATTGAACATATCAGAACGCTGACCGATGCATCATCCATCGTAGCCTTCAGATATGGCTGGAGACCTATACAACGTCTGAGTCAGCATGTAACTTATAAGTACAAAACCACCTTCGTTGTCAAATTTCACCTTTTGTGTCACATTAACCTGATCAGGTGATAGAAGTGTAACGAACATGGTCCAGGTATTTAGCCTTAGTGCAGCAGATGAAGTAACAAAATCGAAAATATTTTTGGCCTGAATCACGTCGCTCTTCTGTAGAGGGGATGAAGCTTCTTTTGTTTGTTGATAGTTATGTAATCACCTACTTACACCTGTCGCTCCTCGTTGAAAAGCATAGGCCTCCCACCAGCATTCTCCATCCAATTCTGTCCTGGGTAGTCTTTCTCAGTTGCTATTCGTCCTTTTCATGTCTGCTTCCAATGAATTCTTTGGTCTCCTTCTTTTCCGTTTCACTTCAGGATTCCAAGTTAGCACTTGCTTCGCGATGCAGTTTGATTATTTCTGAAATTTTTGTCTGATCCTCATTGAATGTCCTTCCTTAATTTCTTCTTTATTTGAAAGCTCGCGTTTTTCTCTTCCACAGTTGGATGTTGCTAATGGTATCCGGCCAATGGACGGTGAGTATCTTGTGTAGACAATTATTTATTAATATGTAGTGGCATTGGGCCCTATTACGAGAAAATGTGGGAAATAGACATTCAACAATTACCACGGAGAGAAACGCAGATGTGAAGAGGGGGAGGAGCAATTTAATTAATCGGAGTCGATAGTATGACATGGTTCGGCCATGCAGGCGTGGTCCCTCTGAACGTTACCTTATATCTTCTATTCATATTAAATATATTGTTCTATTTCTAGCCTAAGTCTGTTCTCTATCATGCATTGGTGATTGTTATGATGTAGTGAGTGGTGTAGACGATGATGTGACTTCCACGTAAGATCTTATAGATTAGGCAGTTACATCATGACAAATCTACAATTATAGGGTTAGGTTTGTTATTAGAGCAGTACTAATATCACAGTAGACCATAAATCTACAAATACATGTAACTTTTTGATGATGTTTGTGGCGTTATGTGTACAACTGATGTCGATAGATATAAATAGTATGTATCGCCTACCGAAAGTGAAATACCTGGCAGCAGAAGGTTAGGAAGATCGGAGGAAAGTGAATGAGAACAGTGAATGATTGCTGTGGAAATGAAGGAAAAATGAAGTCTGATACGACTGATTGACATTTGCGAAAGGAACAGTCAAAATTGAGACGATTGATTGACACTTTACAAAATAAGTATTTACTGTGTAGTGCTCAGATTTTTCTAAGATGTTCCGTAGTTTTGTATTCAAAATCATTTGATTGCCACCACTTGTGTTCTGACTCACTAAAGTGGTGGTTCTCCAAATTTATGTCTTTACGTTTCTATTGAAGTTGCTGGCTTTAGTATTTGTTGATATTTGTTTTGAGTTCCATATATTTTTTAACTGTAAGAGTGCTGCACTCGCTTCGCCAATCCTTGCATTTTCGCATGCATCTGATGCTTCTTGTTCATCGATGATGCTTTCCAGGTACATGGAAGTTTCCGAATTTTTCAGAGTTCTTCTATCAAGTATGATTGGATAGGTTAATTATTACATCAAAGTGAATTCCCAAAATAATGTAACGATGATGAGTAATGATAATTAATTATATTTGAAAATACAAAGTATCTCAAGATTGATAATATAACACTAAGGAGTCAAGACTTCCTGTGGTACTAAATAATGTATCATACGGAGAAAAGTATTAATTGCAGTTATTACGTACTTGACAAACATAAGATATTTTCCTGACGAAATGGGATCGTAATTCTTCTTAAACGAAACGAGTCGAAGAAGCTTTTAGCAGATAGTCCGACAGCAACAGTATGAAGTCAATTCATTTCATAACATTGAGTTCCGTCAAAGAAGTCCTTGTTAAAACTCTTTGATCACACAATAACAAGAGGGAAGCAACCCATCGCGATCCCATAGACTCAGAGTGAGGTTCCTTTTTCCTTATCGAGTGGTCAATAACTAGGGTACCTCACCCGAATAAGTGGATTCAGCTCCATCAGTGGACATTTCAGAGGAGGAGCTGGACCTTCATTGGAAAGCAAACTGTGATGATTAAAATATTTTCACCAACCATCCATCTTTATTATCGAAGACTGAAAATAGTCAGATCAAAAGTCAGAAAGGGAGTTTGGATATATATTTGGCGAGTCATTGATATGCAGAGAAGCTTTGGATCAAAGATGGCTAATAGTCTTGAGGAATGCGTAGCACGGTGAACCCAAACGTCAGTTGGTGCAGATGAATGGTCGGGAACGTCGGCTAGAGACGTGTATGAGTGAAACGAAGAGGTCGACATTGATGTCGACGACTTAGCGGAGTACATATACCGTGGGTTTATTTACCGCTACACACCATAGCTTTCATAATTTTCCCCACTATAACGGATAACTGGTGATTTTCATTGATAAACTACACTGGAGGTGAGATCAACCGAGGATAAAACGAGAAAAAATTCACACCAAAAAGCACTTTTTAAGTCAGAAAGTTATAGAGGCTTCTGCCAGAAGCTATTGGTTCAAAACCTTCTGAATCCTTCAAAAACAGCCTAAAGATAACTTTAGCTCTCTACGTATTGAATTATGTCACTCGTTATGTTGCTGTTCATACTCGCCCCTCACCTAAACAAGGCTGCTCTCCTACTACTCAGACACAAGTCTCTGAGATCAGTTCACTAGACCACTTCAAAGGTCAAGGTTTGAAGTTGAGGTTGACGGTTAGAATTGTATGTTGCTAGGACTGTCAGTTGCATTCATTTTAATTTCTTAACATGTCAGAAAAGTGGGAGGTTCGGATCGATCATCCGATCAAATCATACGCTGAACTCATGCTCCAGCTAGATTTCTTCCTGTGCAGCCTGTAAGGGGTTTATGAGCATATTCCACCAAGCATATATATGCTTCGTAAACAATCAATAAGAGGTTAATAAGAGCGAACAAAGGGGAAAATATGTTGAACGTACGTTATTTTATATACGTATCTGAAAATATACGAACGGAAGGCGGCATATTCGGATATGTACGTTACGTAAATTTGTCTACAAATTTCCCCTAAATAAACGACGTAAGGGGACAATCAACATTTACACTTTATTAACGTTTTCTTTCGCTTTATCTCTCCTTGTTTGTCTCTGTTTTCCACTTTATTGGTTGCTTGTGATTTCTTGAAATATTTAAATATTTTAAGCAAAACAAATATTTTTCCTTGTCAGCGTCAAATAGTAACGAAAAGTGTTAATTTATCTAAGATATCCCTCTCAATTATTCCGCTTTTCATTCTATTTGGTGTGTAATTCCGAGTCATTGGACTGTTTGATGATTGTGGTTTCTATTCTGAGACTGTTCTTCAAAAACGTTCCCTACAAATTTTCTACTGCTAGTGTTCTGACAAGCATTTGAAATTAGTAGACATTTCTCAACTTAAAATTGAAAGTTTTGGCGGTCACAGTTTCTTAAATTACAGAACAAAACTGCTATATCTAGAGATACTCAGTTAACAGGTCATCATATTTCAGTATTAGAGGAAACGATCTCTACAGTCTATCTCTATTTGTTAGAAGTTATCCCAACATACTACTTCCGTATACTACCGATACAACTGTAGTTATACTGTTCCCTTATTCGCTAGACATAGTATTACCAATCAGTATTTATTCATGTGTAATTCTTCAGTGGCACGAAAACTCCGTATTCGATAGTAAGACTCGTCTAGTTTTATGCGAGTATCCAGAGCTAAAACATTTGATACAAAACGTCTTCCGGAGCACGGAAAATGTCATTCTGTATGTTAGGATCGTTCACACCAGTAACAGATGACAAAGAAGACTATTTAAGAAAGCTGGTAGTAAACAAAACGGAATTTAGTGCTAAACGTGATGTAAAACGATCCGAAATACTATGGCGATCAGCACCACGATGCTATTTTTCATTGTGTAATCCCGCTGTGGTCATCCGGCTAGTTTTCAGAACTCAACATTTATTAGTCGCGAAAAGTCAGCTAAGTTTCAAACTTCTTTTATTTCGTGAAGCTTTATCTTTTAGATTAGTGTCATACATCGGTGTGTTAACTAATTTTATCACAGTTTTTATTTTTTCGTAGCGAAATATCTCATATACTTATCCATATGTAGCATAAAATGACTTAAGTTCGATCACAGTTACAGAAATTAGTTTCTTTCAAACAACTACATGATCACTATCACTTTTATACTTCGATAATCATACAGCCACTTCCTTCTGAAGTATACCATTGATATCACTTTAAGTTGTATGATGTATTTCATTTATTTATTTGAGTGTACCAGAGCTTAGACGTAGTCATAGTTTAAGTAAGGCAGCTTTCCCGAGCAGTAGTTCGTATATATAACTAACGTTTTACCAAAGGTCACTCAGTCATAATTGTCTTCGATTTTGGTTGAAGTTGCTACTAGCCAGTAACAGGCAATCACCAGAATATTTATGGCAAGCGATCAGATTTACCAGCTCACCAGCTTGGATTTCCTATTTAAAATTAACAGAAGTAGTCATATCGAGTAATATCATCTCTCTCTTTTTGGCTTCTAAAGTGTGACAAATTGTTCACGTTCACCACAAAATGAGTCAAAAATACAATCACGAGAAGAATTTGCCTAGCAGAAGAGAAATTTGTGAATGGGATGACAATGTTGCCGATACTAAACCTTTCAGTCAAAACAGTCCTCGTGATAAATTTGTAAAAGGTAGCAGTCATCGAAGTGATTTATCAAAAAGTTACAAGGAATCCGTTCTCTCTGATAACTGGTCAGCAACAAACCGCGTCTCATCAAATGGACATGAAACTTGTGATGATTTTGATGATAGTAACGTTGAAGGTCCCGTGAGTGATGATGACAATGACTTTGATGAAGATGATGATGCAGAAGATGAGGACTGGGTGGCTTCCGATTATGAGAAAAAAGTAGGTCAATTTTGGTTATTTACACTTAAAACCCCAATGTTTTTACATCGTAAGTGTGATCTTAAATGTACATAGCAGGTCGATAGAAAACTTCTTGTTTTGTGGCTGTGATAAAATGTAATAGTACAGTATGATATGCTATTCATTTCTCAGGTGTTCAACTATATTTGTTTGAGACAGATATAATCAGTTCGTTACATTTCACACGACACCATGAAGGAAAGTTGGCCTGAAAAGGAACAACTGGATGGGGATATTATTTCGATGAGAAACTGCTTTAGTCAATTAATCTGGTGTCCAAATTTTGTAAAGTTACTTGCGTGGGTTTATTGAGTTTGATTTACTCACGTTTTAGCATATACCTCTTAGTAAGTATAGCGTCCAAAATATTATTTGGTAACATGTTTCACCTTAACAATCTAGCATTAGAATTAAACCCAATCTATCGACAGTTGAACGTTCACATTTGCTTTGGATTGAAGGAAAGTTAGCGATAATCATTATAACGATGTCTGACAAAAAAGTATTGGATGAATTTTAACTAGAAAATGTACATCTTTCCCATTTCGCAAAACATTTTGTGCGTGATATGTTCAATTGTATTCATTTAGGCACGCTAAATCTAAATTCAACAGTTAAGTCTCCTTATTTCTTTTCCTGATGTATACAACAGTTTTTTTATTTCCTATTAAAATCAATGGTAGTCATGTCTTATGGTCGGAAATTTTTCTAATATTTAGTGTCGAAGCTGGCTACTTTAAATTACTGTAGTGTTTTCCTATTTAGGTATAACGATTTATTAACGCTAAAATTTATGTGCAGTGAGCTACAGTTAAGAGATTTGTAAACTGTATTTAAGTTATCATACTAAGTATTGATTCCATCCTACTTCATCATTAATTCTATCATCTGTACATCTCTATCTGATTTTTTGATGATAGTTTAGTCAATTATACTCTGTCATTCGTATAATCTCAGCTATGTATGCCTGCAAAAAACAAAGGACCTGAACATCTAATCAATTGTCATGCAACTCTTATCAGACTCCGCTCTAAAAATGGTACACAAAATGTGAAGTCTAGTAGTCTAAATCATTTTTAAAAAAATGTTTCTCTAAAATAATTCAATTGATCAGTTTTTTATATTAGATAAGAAAATGATATTAGGTTTCTCAAGGTTGTCCTTATTTTGTGGATATTAATAAAAACCGAAATTTTAAGGATTAAATGCAGTTAACTAGATAATGTTAATGTACTCCACTGTGTAGAAGTATAGAACATTATTCATTGAAACGTTCGAGATACTTGTCATTAGCCATAATAAACATAGGTGGCTATTGCTTAGAACATGTAATTCCTATCTTTCTACAGTTTTATGTGCTTCGCAACATTACTCTAAACCTTTTGGACCTTTTTATTTATTTATTTGAACACATAAATGCTGATACAAAGGGGTACCAAATACACATGCGTCACACAAGTCACTTGATTTGTGTGGGGGGTAATACTGCCCGAGTGCCCAGACCGAAGCAAATGATATTTTGAACGATTGGTCTGCGAATGTAGTAGGACTAACCACTCGTATTATCGTTTGGTATACCTGAACATTACTAATTATAACTAATTGTACTTCACTGTAACTGAAAAAGTTGTTCTCTTTTATCGTCTTAATGAAATAATTTCGCCTAGGTTTTCAATTGCGAAGCTTTTGTTCACTCTACATTACCAATTTTTTAGCGTCCTAGTCGCACTTCTCGAACACAACTCACTGGTTCACGTAAAATTGGAAATAGTTGCAGTTCACATCGCAAAAGTTCACATGGAGATCGTTCTCAACGTAGAATTGGCAGCAGTTTGCCAAGGACAGCTGCTCACAATCCAGGGAGTAATCGTATTGTTTCTTCCAATAAATCTTCCAAATCTGTTGGTCGACCTAGAACTGTTAATCGCTATCAAGGTGGAAGTGCTAGGACTGTTCATGCATCATCTGGTCGTAAGATTGCTACACGTCGAGTTGAAAAACCAAAGACAAATAATAGCAACCCACGAAAAGTATTTGATTCACTAATACCTAACGAACTAAAAAAGCCTCGACAATGTTTCGGTCCTGGATGCACTCGAGCTGCAGCAAGACCAGATACAAAATATTGTTCAAATGAATGTGGACTTAAACTTGCCATCAAGTTTGTAGCTTATCTGTACTTTGCTTCATTTACGAAATATTTTGTTTATAGATCACATTTTTAAACTCTAATGACTTAAAAATGTTTAGAAGTAATAAGACGAAAATCCATTATAAAAATATTTACTATGTCTGCTCCAAATCATTATCAAGCAGTCTATAAAGGCGTAAATATATCGCTCCTTTTATATATGCCGGTACAATACTATTTCATAACACTTAAAGCACCCAACCTTTAACTGTTTGATTATTGATTAAGATCATATGAGGCTCCTTTGAAAATTTCGAGTGACTCACTGTTTTTACTAGTCCTACCTCAATTGTTATAGATTGCAACCTATATTGCTATGACCATTAGTACTAGGCGTTATTTATGACATAAAAGCTGAATACATATACAGTACCTAAGTTGAATCTGGAACTCATTTTCCGGGTTTGAACGATCTACTCATGGGCGGAAAGTCGTAAAATGAACATCTGTTGTGGCATCTAACTCATTTACTTGATCAGTAATACCTCCTTATATATTGCCTGTCCAACAAATACGCGAATCGGTCTAATAGTACTGTCAGTTACGGACGATTATAGAGTCTCTGTGTTGATAAACATATCAGACTTGTATGGCTCTACGTGCGTTCGGGTCTTTGGTTCACTACCTGAGTGGTAACTGATGGGTTGAGTCCAGAAAAATCAATCGTCTGCACACATAATTCTAGTGAGACATTCAAGGCTGTGAATTTCTGTATGAAACTTTTGCTAAAGTCGCTGTTGGCTAACCAACAGTTAAGAAAAACTTAGTCCCTTATAGAATGCGAATGATGTGTGTATGGTTTCACGTAAAGTAGCGAGCCTGACTTTCACTGACATCTTGGACAAGGAAAACAAATGAGATAATTATTTTTATACAAATAGGGAGTACTTTGATAAGAAATTGAAGTAGCTTAAAGTCTTCAAAATAAAGTTTCTCATGACCTCAATTCACTACTCATTACAGAGCTTTTTAAGACTGATAAATTACACATTTTCTTTTTTAGGCGCTTAGAAACTCTACTGCCAGAAAGTTTTCATGCTTGGTATCCTGACTTGTTTACGAAAGCTGGAACGGCTCTTTCTGAATTAGAAAGGCTACCGGATTGTATGGCTACCGTTATTGACAAATTGCGTCTTAAAGAAATTAGTAAGGAACAGTGTGTAGTACACAATCGGTTGGTTGAATTAGAAATGGAGCATCAAAAGCTTACGGCACTTATTAGTCGAGCTCAAGAGCGAAAAACTGGACGAAACAATGAACAAATGGTAATTTCTCTCCTGTCAGGCAATTTTTGATTTTTATGTTCACAATTTTTTTCTTGACAGTGTATTATTTTCACTCCTGGTTTCACTTTGTAATTCAGTTCTCTCTGATTGCGCTGATTTATAATGAGTTAATTCGAATCGATACATTTTCATCCTAGGTATTACGTAGGTATCAGTTAGCCAATCATTGAAGATGACAGAGTACTGAATGATTCTGTTGTCGGATTCCAGATCATAGTAGGTAATATTAAGTGTTGTAACGGGTGGACTGCAGGTTTTGGTAAGCAGCGTTTTATCGATCGATTGCTTCAGTGGACGACCTGGTGCCCTGATTGGTCCCGCTTCCCTGTCTAGCCCAGCCAGTTGGGTCCAGAACACAAGTCACAGCCTCTGAGTTATGAATCATTTTATTTCAGACATACTCTATTTATATACCAAACAAACAAACCACATCGTACCATAAAATAGAAAACAACATTTACACAATATTTAACGAGTGAAATAAACATCGACCAATAGGAAATGTCCATTTAACGTCCAAGGACACCATTCGACTTAACACGATAATTATTGGTACATTCCTCTGCATACCTAACACTAAGCTCGAATATGTAGTATATTTTTTTAAACTACTGTTTTCACAGAGCCAACTCTTTGTTCTTGTCAGGTGCACTTGCGTATAAACTCATGTATTTATCAGTCTATAATGTTTTCATTATCATTATTAAGCTTGCTGCGGTTGCTCACGACGCAGAACAAGTAGAACAGATGGAACCCATCATATGTGTTACGTGCTCAGCTGAAATCAGTATGCGACATGCTCTGAAGCATATGGAGAAATGTTTTCAAAAGGTAAGTTAGAGTAATTCAATATTTGTCGTTTGTTTGCACGTTTTTTTTTAAATTTACGCACAAGATCTACGAATGTTTTTCTCATGAAATATGTTTCAGATGGAAGGAAACACTGTGTTTTGTGCTAATCAAAAGGAGCAAATCATGGGTACACCATTATTTTGTGATGCTTACGACTCACAGGCTAGAGCGTATTGTAAACGATTACGTGTAGTCTGTGAGCATTATAAAGAACCGAAGCTACCTGCAGATACAGTATGTGGATCACCGCTTGTTCACAATGTCTTTGAAGAAACTGGTGAATTTTGTTGTGTACCGCGCAATAAGTGCACTAAACACTTTGGTTGGGAACGTCTACGTCGAGCGAAAATAGATTTGGAACGATATCGCTGTGTAAGTAATGTTTTCTAATAGTTTGTTCACAAATTGTCTCAGTTAGATAAACCTATTATAATAAGACCATGAAACAAATAAATTGACAAAATGATTCTGCAACTTTCAATCTTGTGCTGTTAATATACTGAAATAAATTAATGTTAACCTGTTGTTGTTTCTAAGACACCTAGTTCTCAAACTTCACTGCCGTTATGGTCGCTTGATTGATTTGGTACTGATAAACCCTGCATCGGATGACGGAACTAAGAAAACAAAGCCATGTGTCATTTTAGTTTTTTGACCCCCAAAATAAATTAAAATTATACATGAATATACTACTCTGTACATAATTTATGTGCAGTCAGATTTGTACAAATTGAACTGAGTAGTATTTAACATCAATTAATAACTTACTGTCTCAACGCATATTAACAATGCTACACAGTTAAGCATCTATATCTGAAAGATCGGAATAAATTACATAATAACTTCTACTCAGGATGCGATTACATGTCACAGACGACTTGAAAAAAGTCAATGTCATATGTTACTCGCAATCCAATCGATTCAGTACTTGCTTACCATCTCAGCTATTTATTTTCGATTGACGAATCAGTTAAAGATAGCAGGGAAACACAAGGATAAAATATTAATTTGTTCAAAGGCTAAATATGGTAGTTAGACCCCTTAACAAACTTTTAAGCCTGTGGATTTAAAGCTGTTTAGCTAGAATACTAACGGAAAGTAAGCATAAATATGAGAGTAGAAATTGTTGAATAGGTGTATTCTAAGTGTTTGTGTCTAATATGTCATACTACTATATTTTTGAGTACTATCTAGGTATCTCATTTTGTTAGCGAAATGTGTAAAATGCTTCTTTGGTATGTTAAACAAGCTGCTTGGCATACATACGTTCTCACGTCTCGGTTAATTAGTAAATTATGTCAAGATAAGCTGGTTCAAATTACTGTCCAAACGCATTGGACAATCGTTTAGGAGCTTAGGAAAATCCAATCAACGACAAACGTTTATATATATATAATCAAAAAATGACTCTCAGTATGGAAATGATTTACTGTACTTATTATTGAATTAGGAATTTGAGATAGACAATGTAACGGTCGGTTTTCTTTTAGTTTACATTTTATTCTAATCACATGACTTCGTTACAATTTTCTTTTGCAATATTGTTTTTCAGCTAATTCAAATGGATGAATTAATGCAAGAGGAACAAAGACTACGACGTGCCATATCTCAACGTGGTGGTGTACTTGGCATTTTGCTACACCAAACTATTGATCATAATCCTGAAAAACCAGTTCCCATCCCAGGAGAATTAAAAACATCTTTGAAAGATAAAGAACGATCAGATACTTGACATTTCTAAAAAATTTAATTTGACTGTACATAACAATAGAATTTATTTGTTTCTTTTGTACAAAATGTTTTTTCTATGATCTTATTGCTTTTTCTTAAAACATAATTTGCGCATTATACATCTTTCTCCTATCCATTTCCTGTTTTGTGTCTGCTTTTTGCTCCTCAGTCATTCGTAATGCAATGTTATTCATGTTCGTGATTAATGGTAACTTTACAGAAATTACTTCTGATCAGCGTGAGTATGTTTAGGTAAAGCTGTTTTACAACATTTTGCGTAAATACTGGTTTTATCTATTTCGTGAATAGAATCACATCAACAGGTTTGAGTTCAATTTACTATCTAGAACTAGTTCCTGAAATATTATTATTGAAGTTCGGTAAATTTGTACCCCTATTCCTTTCAGTAGCCTACAATGTGCCATAGCATAATTACATGGCTACACATATCAATTAGTCATTAAGATCAACACTTAAGGCATCATGATTCGATCTGCACTATTAAGGACTTGACACACATGACATTGATCATCACCCAGTGATCAATCAATTGTGATTACATCTCAGTTCTACAGGAGGTCGGTTGCAGCCCGGATAGCCCAATGGTAACGTCTCTGACAGAAGCTGGGTGACACGGAATCGAATCCGTCAGGGAGCACCAGTTCCCTCAGGTACACCTTGCTGACGAGTGCCAAGTAGCACGAAACCCGGACCTAGTGTTTCCTGTTGACTACATCCAACCACCATCTTATTTTGTTGTCATTCCTAGTTTAGGTTGAAAAGTTTACTAGCCATTCAAATTATCGTTAAAAATGATATAAAGTAATGGCTTTTGCGGATTCACTAATATCATAATAACCCAGAAACTCAGCAAAGTATATCTCATAGTTTGCACACATTGGATAAATATGGTAAGGTCCAATTAGGGGTTTCCGTAAACTCTGGCTCGACACCAGTGGTATATCTGGGCATACAAACCTACGTTAGTTACCGACCATTAAAGGACTATATCTGAAGTCGCAACTTCGCGTAACGTAATAATCCACGCCAGTTAACCACTGTTGTTATTATTCAAGATGAATGTTTCAATTAGAGTTAACAGTTTATATTCAAACATAAAATCACAGGTAATATATTTATAATACATAAGTAAATTACGCATACAGCGTTACGCTAACGAATTGAAATCAATTATGTAAGATCAACCGTTTCAGTTGAATGTATTCTTTTTCGTTTAGCATCTACGTGAGAACGCTCTTCCGTAACTTTGTCTTTATCCAATTCTTCCTTAATTGATAATAAATAAGGCATTAATTCAATGTGTTCATTATCAACCGAATTGTCATTGTTTACAACATAACAAACAGTTGAATATGGTGTAAAATGAAAATCTAATTTTAAGTATTGTTTAATTAAACACCAAGATATGAAATGTTCATAAAATTGACGTTCAGGTTTTTCTTGATTTCTATACAATAATTTTTGACTGATAGATTGTATCTGCTTATTACAAGTCATAAGATCAATCAATTTAGGGCCAGTTATCCTTTCTTGTTTTGTTAAACTTTGATCAAATAATAATTGTTTTGTCGCATTCAGTAATTTATCTGTTTTTATTTGAATCAACGTGGATACATCTATATAAAATTAAAACATGAGAAGTTGGAAATCGAGTCAATGTTAAACAGTGCAGGGCTTGAGATAAATGTGTATTGATTCAAGTCATTAAACTTCAGATCAGTACAATGAAAGCGGTAATCAATAAGACGACAAGTAGAGCAAATAAAATGATGATAATGATTGCAATGGACAGTTGAATATAAAAGATATAATTAAAAAAAATGAATCCAAAGTATACAATGATACTAAGCTCAATACCTAATCAGTGATAAGCAACGTGGGACCTGGTACATTCGTCGCACCGTATCAACACAGAAAGAAATTAATCAAAACAATTTTCAGAGAGTATTAGAGCTAGTAACAGTATCAGTTATAACAGAGAAAATTAGGCATAATATGATTTGAGAGGAGTTAATCTGCAGAATGGAAAAGTATAAGACAGTTTCTTAACTGAAGATCAAAGGGAAAATAAAGAGTGAACGCATGAGCCATAGCACCCAAAGTCTGCAACTGCTGGCTATGATTATCGAGTAGGCACCAACCAGTTAGTCCGCATCTACCTAAAAGACTCAGTCTAACAATTAGTGATTTCATGGACTGATGCCATGTTTGATTTTGATCGCTCCAAGCTACTTCTGCATCAGCCAAGATTTTAAATTGAGGTAGGTGGTGGCTGAGCTTAATTAGTACTATTGAGGGAGTCCTAAAATATCCTGCTATCAAAGTTTCAAGAGGCCCAGGAACTCGAGGAGACGTTTTACGCAATAAACGTTACGGTTTAGCAGAAACATCTAGGATATGCTGAGTCACATGCTACGGTTTGGACTGGATATTTACTTATACTGTCACTGTATTTAGTATGGTTCCAGAAATATCCAAAAGCCCAAGGTTATGTGTAGCTCAACGAATAGCTTCGTTTTTTCTGTACGTGAACTAACCTTAGAGTAAAGCTTTTACTCACAACTCGCGCCTTCTCCCTATTGTTCCACTCGATGTGTAAGAGTAGTTGGGGTTACAAGAACCCGCTAGGAATACAGTTCAGGTGTATTGGTAGCAAGACTTATCAAATAGGTTTCCTCCATTTGGTCTTATATCATAATTATGTCCATCAGGCGAAAACCGTGACAAAGATGGGGAGTGATTATCACAAAATACTGAAATTTTGCGTCGTAAATGTCTCCACTTTATTTTGTAGACTGTTGTGGTGAAATTCACATTTGAAATGCATAAATCACTAAGAGAAGATTTCACTCTTCAGGAAAAGGTGTTACCGTTAAGTTCTACATACTTCGATTTCAACTTTGGATGGATGATCCGTGTATAACGACTGGTCACTAAGTGTAATCGACCACCTAATCGAGAATAAAAAGTAGTCTATTTATGTGATTCAATATTTAATATTGGACAGTTGTAAAACAGTAATTAAGGAGATCAACTGATATAATCATTTGATTTACTTTGAAAATATGTGACTCACCCGACTTATTTGTGCTTTTACGTTGACAATTGTCACACGCATTTTTACAGTCATCAGTAGACCAAGAAGCATCACCGAGATTTTTCGAAATTAAAAAACGTCTACACATATCCGGATCAATACAATATCCAACCATTTCATAAAGTTTTGCAATTCCTGTTCGTTCAGATGATACCATGCTGGCTAAACGAAATAGATCTGAAAAACGCCACATTAATATACAATCCGCGGAGTTCGAATCACGTCCTGCTCTACCTGATTCCTGATAATAATTTTCTAGACTTTTGCTTGAAGAAAAGTGTATTACAAAACGAACATCAGCTTTATCTATACCCATACCAAAAGCTACAGTGGCAACAATCACCTATGAATATTAGGAAAGAGTCATAAACAGAGAAAAAAGTTGACGATTCCAAAAATACAATAACTGGAAAAAAGAGAGAAGCATATAAAGACGAGTGGGTCATGTAAGCATATTATATTATGAAGGAAAATGGATATTCAATTCGATCGTCAACTTTAATTGAAAAAGCGCTAAGGAGAATCAAGTATATAATTCAGTCAGTTATATTTTCTGGCTTCACTAGTTTAACTTTACGGTATTGTTTCCGTTTAGCTACTGATTAATTATTGAGTAAGTCCTAATCTATTGAAATTACTCAAAATGTGACCATTAATTAATATAAATGAAACCTATATATATATTTGCACAGCTTCGGGTTTACACAAACGAAACTTTGACCCTCTTCTTCATTTCTAATACTTGTTTCTTAATTATCTGTTAAAAAAGCCGTTACCACGATAGCATCATAGATGACTATAAGTTATACTGACAACTTCAGTCCAAAAAAGAGAATTTTCAATCTTTTAAGACACGAACTATCACAATCTGTTCGAATCAGTCTACTAGGGAGAATCTTTATTTGTACCAAGCACTTATGAGTGGAAATTCTGTCGTCCTTTTTTGTAAAATAATGTTTAGTTATAATGGATTTGTAGGAGCAGAAAAAGAACCACATTAGAAAGTCAAAAACACACTCAATCACTGAGTTTTTTGTTGAGCTGGTCAAGTGAATGGATGTTCAAGAACGTTAAAAGACTATGATTCTACTCACAAATGCTTTTTTATTTATTTCCAGTAGCACAATCAATATATGTATTTCAAAAATAGTATTTAAAACAGGTTCCCAAGTATGTTCGGAATATTTGTCAATAATTTTCATAAATAAAATACAATGAATAATACGCTGAAAATAACGTACTTGAATTCTTCCTTGACTCCAATCGGAATGAACTCTAGATCGATAATTAAAATCTAAGTTCGCATGATATGGAGCTACTTTTAACCCAAAATTCTTTAGTTCTGAAGAAACATCTTCAGTATCTTTTTGAGAAAAACAATACACAATGCCTAGAAATATATGAATAGAATAAAGACGGATATATCAGAAGTCATTAAAGACTAAGTGAATAGTTTCCATATAATAGATGGATTTCGGCTAGCAGTGAAATCCAGGACGACCAATTCGTCCTATTTTGGGACTCATCAGTTAAATTTGCCAACATGTTAGCGTTGATGTTCAAATAGAGTACATTTTGCAACAAACACATGTAGCGGTAAATAAATCCACAAAATAAACAGTCTTGTAACTCATCGACATTGACACAAACCTCATTAGTTTTATTGAAAACATTCCAGCTGAAGGCGCTCAGCCACGCATCCGCAACAGATCACGAGTGGGTACGCTGCGCAACACATCCAGCCTAGACCAAACGCTTCTCAACATATGGATAACCTGCCAAATATATCTGCGAACTTTCATTTCTGACTTGACTGGGTCGGTACCCTTCGCTTATAAAGGCGTTGTTAAACTCCGAATACATGTGGCATCGTTATACCCAACACATTGCCCACCAAATCCAAGCATGAATATCAATTCTGAAATGCAGCTACATCCAGCTGACGATTCCCAAAATAATACGGAACGACTCAATTGCTATCCACAATCTACCTATCCTTTAAAACGTGTAGTGAAATAGCTATTAGATTTGTTAACTCTGGACATTATTGTTGCATAGTGTTGTAAAAAACAAAGTCTTTACTCAAATAGTCGGGTTAAATATATGCAACCGTAGTGGTACCCTATATTCCTTTTATGTTGTTTCATATGTTTAAAATCACTACTAAGTTATTATTAAAGTAGTGTATCGTTTTTACAATTCTAAATTCAAGTAGTGAAAATAAATGGATTCATTGAAATCAGAAAAACTAACTTAAAATCAACCTTTCTCTGATAATGTGACGAACTCAAAAACTAATTTTCTAACATCTCGATATAGGTAAACAAACGAACGCCTATACTCAGCTCAAATTAACACAAAACGATAAGACTCTATGATAAAAATGTAATGGGAAAAATATAGCATTGGATTTAATCATTGAACAGAATAATAATTCAAATAGAATATTTACCTGATTGATTAGTATAATTTTTGTTAATTAGTTCATATAAATATCCAACAGATGCTTTGATAGATCCACTGACTTGTTTAACCTATGTGAATAAGTTGGGGGGAAAAGTGATAAAAAAACAATGAAATGTTTCTCAAGAAAAGTATTGAGGCATAAATCGATCATAGTGATTGTAGGATATGGCACGAATATGAAGCAGTTCTAGGTGCCAAAGCTCAAAACAGAAATATATTGAACGTAAAACGAAAAGCTCTAAGTCATGAAAGCGAAAAAATATTGAACCCGTTAGAAATCTAAACTTGATAAATATAATTACAGCCAAAGAGGTTATTTTTTCCTGTCATATTTTCAATTATTACCCTTTTAACAACAAAGATGGCAATAGACTGAAGAAAATATAAGTATATTCACTGACAAGATAGGCAGATACCTAACCAGTGAGAAATACCTCGATAATCATCTAAATATCGGTGTAGTATATAGCCTTAAACCTGAATAACTGATGTGGGATTCGAAGTGTTAAAAATTAAATCATAATTGTACACAAAGACTAATACATCTCAGTAAGCAATTTGAGTGGTAGTCATTACTGGATAACTGTTCATGAGAAGTTATTTAAAATCAAACTATAATTCCCAGAAAAGAATTTGAAAGTGATGACATGGAACAGAGTTAGATCTAAACAATTGTGTATTTTGTAGATTAGTTGTTAGGATGTGCAGAAAAATATACCAATAATTATCATGTTAACTCTAATGGTGTCCTTGGACGTTAAATGTACACTCCCTATTGGTCGATATTTATTTCACTTGTTAAATATTGTACAAATGTTGTTTTCTATTTTATGGTACGATGTGGTTTGTTTGTTTGGTATATAAACAGAGTATGTCTGAAATAAAATGATTCATAACTCAGAGGCTGTGACTTGTGTTCTGGACTCAACTGGCTGGGCTAGACAGCGAAGCAGGGCCAATCAAAACTCTAGACCGTTCTTACGTGTTTTCTTTGTCAGTGAAATCGATCGATAAAACGCTGCTCCATAATCTGCAGTCACACGTTACAACATTAGTAAAGCCCGACGCCCTTTGGAAGCAGAGAGAAGGCGTAATTAATTAATATTTAACCATAGATATCTTCGAAACATCCAATACAAATCGTCGAATAACTAAGTCAATACTGTTTCACTTAAATCTACAGTACTAGGTAAAAATGACAAATCGGTTAAGGAAAAGCAATAAATGAAATGTATATTGAATTTTTAACAATCAATGGTAACAAACAAATACCAAATTAAACTTACATAATAATTTAAATTTTCTCGATTATAACTAGTTCTTAATACTAAACATTTGTCGACATTAAGACCTAACATATTTTCGATATCTACAATGATTTCAGTGGTTGCAGTTGCAGTTAAACCAATAATCGGTACATTAGAAAATTGACGTTTTAATACATGTAGAAATTTATAATCCGGTCTGAAATCATGACCCCATTGACTAGCACAATGTACTTCATCAATAGCAATACAAGCTAATCGATTTGTTGAATAAGCAATCTCTAGACGATTTAATAATAATTTACTTTTAGCCAATTTCTCTGGAGTTACATACAATAAGCGTAAATTAGATTTTGATGAAATATTTGTTTTGTTCTAAATTTTAAAAAAAAGAAATAAAAATAAAATAAAGACATAATTAAATGAAATTGGAGGAAATGTTTTCTTTATTTGTCGATATTGTTGGGGTGATCCAGAGAATTGCTTGCAAAAGACAAGCAAGCATCAGGAAACAATAAGAAACGTTTCATCCAATCAGCGTTCACTTGAAGTCTTAGCCAGAAATATCAAGGAAGCGAAACGTCACATGCAGAGGCTCCGATTGGCTGGCTGCTACACTGCTACTATGTTTAGTAGCATTCCAGAATCTTCTAGCAACCCAAGGACATTTAAAATATTACAAAAACCCTGTATTTTCTGCATTAAAATGAACCTCGGAGTAAACTACTTCTCACATACTTTGAGTCTTCTCCCTTGTGTTCAGGTCGCTGTATAGTTCTAGCTTTGGGTAACCCCAAAGCTAGTTACCGAATAGCTTAGGAAACGAATATAGCGTTCAATCTTCAAGAATTATCAGATACAATTTATTACATACGATCATCATTGAGTTAAATGGTCGAATCAAATATAAATTGGTCTACTACTTGAATATTAAAGATACTTTTTCTAATGTGTAAATTAGGAGGGCAACGTTTAAATGTAACATCCTAGTGATTGAGAAACAAATTGACTAGTTGTTTTAGATACTCCTCTGTTATACTTAATAGTTGGTTTATTTAGGTATTCAAACTTTTAATCAATTGATTCATTTACTGTAACTTTTAATGATAAATCACTGTTTATTTTCATATAATCTAAGTGACAATAAACAACGCTTAACTAAAAGACATAAAATAGACAAAGGTCACGACAAATACATACACTTATAAATAAATGTTTATTTTTAACAGCTGAATTCACGAATCGATCACACCGTTCACGTGCGAGACCGAGGGTTTGGGTTCGAGTCCCACAAGCGGGGTCGTGTATGTGCGCTGCTTAGGAATCCCATACTAGAACGAAACGGCCGTCCAGTACTTCCATGTTTCCAATGGTGGCCTAGCTTAGATTGACTCATGAACTCAACTGTGAAAATACTATAAGCACCACTAATTCCCATACTGTTTATTTTTTAAATCGAAATACGAATTAATTGATGAATGCTACTGACGGAATGATGGGAGAGTATAGCGGTGGTAGCTTCGAGAAAATGATTAGTCAGTTACTGATTGATATTACCAATTATCGGAAAAATAAGTTGTACAGTGCAGTACTTTGATTGAATAAAAAGTCACTGCCTATTAGAGAAATTTCCAGTTTCATTGTCTTCGGTTATATGGTCATAGGATAAATCGTTCTTAAAAAAAGAAGTGGGGCTACTGGTACCTTTACGTATTAGTACGTAACGTGAAATGATGCAGAATGTTGATTAACATGAAAGTGATTTGAAAAGTCAGGGGTTAGTAAATCAACACATGGTATCAGTCCATAAATCCACCGACAGTAAGCTTTATCTGATTCCAAACTTTATGTAACTTGGTTATTGCTTACGCGGATACCCTGTAATTAATTTGTACAACTTCGTATATTCAACAGACTATGATAATATTCGGAATAATATAACAGAATTCTAGAAGGGTGTAACAGCATTAAGATACTTCCCTCAAACAACCAGTATCTGCAGCGATGCTTCTTTCTCACAACTGAAGGAAAAGGTCAATCTTTAAAAAATGCAACACCTTAACTGACCCCACAGATTTCCGCCACCGGTGATAAGGCTTTGTGGAACGCGAAACTAACATATCAAAACGTCCCGTAAAAAGAACGCAAGTGAGCGGACTCGAGGAGTCATCCCTTCGATGCTGCGATCGAGCTCCAAGGTCACCAAGACCACCATTAACCCTGTTCCTTTTTCAGGCCCCTGAAGAAATATCCCTCCATGGTGTGCGCAACCGGGAAGTGAAAGCCACCACCATACCTCTAACAACACCTAAGATCACCTTGTTTACGATTATGATGGTGACCCTCATGCTTGGTATTATGTTGATCATGACTAATTGAGTAATTAGCAGACATACAGAAACGACATTTTTAAGCGATCGATTGGCATTGTGTACGTATTTCAACCAGTAACAATAAAATAATTTGAAAATCCTTACTGAAGCAAACCAACATTAAAAAAGAACGTGAAATAAAATACAAGGATTCAATGTTAGTCATTTGACAGTTATATTGGATTGTAAGATGGGTGTCAGCTATTACAAGTGAATTTATTGAGGGAAGTGTTAAAATATGAAATAATGTATGGTTCACATCCAACTCATCGTGCTTTTCATTTTCCCAATCTATTAAAAAGTATTGAAACTTGAAGTAATGTCACATTGTTTCAGATAGTGAACGAGCATCTGACAAAAGAACAAGCGCTTTGAATTTTCGCACTAAATAAACTTTAAACCATATCAATAATGATTCATAATTATAAATATACCTCATAAGGGGGTAATTTTACATTGGGTTTCATGAGAATCAAACACCAACCAGGCTTTTACATGACCCGAACAGTACAACTCAGTTTTGTGGGGTAACCATACAGATACCAAGATCCCTAGTGGACAAATACTACTACTACTACTACTACTACTAATAATAATAATAATAATAATAATAAATTCATTAACTAACAGATTTTTCTGCAAGTAATGAGAGAATTCGACGTTGTTCTTGTAATGGTGTATTCGCATCTAAAACTGCTATTGTATCTGGTTCGAGACTGTATCTGGTCAAGTTAATCGACTGATCAACCATTAAAGAAACCAATGGACTTATAACTAACGTTAATGAACCACGATATCGTCCATTCACTTTGAAAGCATTAACATTAAGTAATGCAGGTAATTGATATACCAAGCTTTTGCCTGCGCCTAAATATTATATAAAGAGAAATGAACAAAAAGCATTAAAATCATACTAGATATTTCATTTATTAAGATTCCATAAAGAAAATTATATATATATATATATATATATATATATATATCATATATATATATATATATATATATATATATATATATATATATATATATATATATATATATATATATATAGTTCTTAGAAAGTTAACGTTAGTAAAGCTGTAATGAGAACGATGTATAAATCAGTGTGGGACTGCTTATTGGTAAGAATAGTATTTGAAGACAATTAATTCACAGATTTTGATTAAATTAAAGGTGCAAATATTGAAAAGAACAAGTTCTAGGAAAAGATTTGTCGGTCATTTAAAGACTTTTGTCAATTTTTTAACTGAGCAACGTATAATCAGGGAAGAAAATGACTTGAAAACGTTATTTACATCTACAGGCTTTACATTTTTAACGAAGAACGAACAAAAAATCAGATGTCATCTATATGTATGTGCCTGTTACAGTTTCGGGTGATGATCAATCAAACTTATGCCTTATTAATACAATGATTTAAAACCTTCTACCGAATTCCGGATAAAACTTTAAATTTTTAGGCAAGATTACTGGGATACCGTTACTCTATACTTGAGAGCATCAGTGACATCAAACTACTGTATCTTCAAATATCACATTGAAAAGTGCTTACATTTACCAATGAGAGTCCAGGCTGTTCATTTTTAAAACAAGCAATATAATTGGGATATATGAATTGACTTTGAAATAGATCGATTAATCATGCTTCAAAGTAAAATCAAACCTCCTTGTCACAAATCAACTTAGAGCGAATGATCGTTTTCGATCATTTCTTTATCAAGCTCTACACAGTTATAAATCCAAAATTATTACTATTGTCATTATTACTGTGTTATGATAGACTGAATGTTTAAATTGAATTAATCCATGTTACAAATTAGTAAATGGAAAATCCCACGTCGTTTGCACCCTACATACTACAAATTACTAACAAAACAAAACAACCTTTTCGGTGTTATTAAGAAAAGGTTATACATAAGGTGTAAGAAATAATTATTTGTTTTAATTAACCTGATGATCAGCTTAAATCAATAAGTTGAAATCGTATGTAACAACACATTACATACAAATTAGGAATTACTGCATCGTAGCTGCTGTTGTGTGGTGTGCTACTTATACGAACAGATATAAGTAGTATTCATCAGTAATTGGAAGTAGGATTTTTACTGATAGAAGCGGAAAATGAGAAGAGATAAAAACAAAAGAAGTCAAAGTAGCAGCAGGGATGGAAGAACGATAGAGTTTGTAAGAGACAATTCAAGGAAGATGTGTAAATGGTATATTTAATGTACTGTTTCCATATTTTACGAGTGGTGTGGGATTTTGATTAACACAAGGTTCGCTCATTAGATTGTGATGATAACAATAATATTAGTAATAATAATAATATTCAGAACAATATGGCAGCAATAAGTATAATTTTGATTAAGAATATCACGTAAATAAGAAAGATAAGTGTATAACTAAGGATCATAGAAATGTCTTGAGTGCGAAAACCTTAAGTGCACGATATTTGCTAACAAACTCATCAGACAATCTTAGAGTAACAATGAGGTCTCCTTGAGGTCCGATTTTCGCTGACTTTTTTCTAGCTAAACTGAAAAACAAACCATTACATTCAGTTTCACAGGATAACGCTTGACCTCTAGACCACTGAGCCCGGTATCCAACGGTGCTTGTACTAAGTATGTTGTTACATACGATTTCAACTTATTGATTTAAGCTGATCATCAGGTTAATTAAAACAAATAATTATTTCTTACACCTTATGTATAACCTTTTCTTAATAACACCGAAAAGGTTGTTTTGTTTTGTTAGTAATTTGTAGTATGTAGGGTGCAAACGACGTGGGATTTTCCATTTACTAATTTGTAACATGGATTAATTCAATTTAAACATTTAGTCTATTATGACACAATAATAATAATAATAATAATAATAATAATAATAATAATAATAATAATAATAATAATAATAATAATAATAATAATGATAATAATGATAATAATAGTAATTGTAATAATTTTGACTTTATAATTGTGTACAACCTGGTGAAGAAGTAATCAAGATCGATGATTACCTGGTGTAGACTATGCTGTTGACTGTTCTATGGGAATTTTTAAATTAATATCAATCTATGATGGAAACTATTTTATTACGAAACGAATATGAAATTTTTTCATTAGCAAAGTATTATACACCTAATAATCGGAAACTTATTTATAAGCTATCATTGAAAAAAATAACGTTTTAAAACATGCCTACCCGCCTACCTACCTGTAGGCATAACTAGGATTACATCACGACCATCTAAAACTGCGTTAATTGCTGTTATTTGTAAAGGACGAAATTCTGAAATTCGGAAAATTTCTTTTCTCACTCGATTCACTTCTGAAGTCCATGGGAATAAGGATTCTGAATTGTATTCAGATGATGTACCTAAAGAACTTGAAATTTCTTGGACACGGGCTGTAGTTAATTGAGATCTTAACTGTGAGTTACAATAAAAAAAAGAGAATATAAATCACACTACATACAAAAGTGATTGGTAAACAAGGTAGTGATCAACTATAGAACAAAATATTAGAAATCATATCCGTTTGTAAAACTTTCGAATATTTGGATATACTTGTTAATGCTCAGGTCTCGACCTTTGTTGAGGAGTCCCCTGTTAAGACGAAACGGCTGCCCAGTGCTTCATGGTCATCTGGATGAAATCAGCTAATGATGTAAAACTATAATAAAATCGTTAATTTTGTTTCACAGTCTTCAGGGTGAGCAAAAGTAAATAATGGATTGACTGATTGAAGATATACACCGGTGGACACTAACTCAGCGGCCTGAAAATGACGCTTTCACCACAAAGCTTAAAAGTTTTAAGTTTGATTTATAATAAGATCTTAGATGAATACCAATAAAGAAAAATATAATAGAACGAAAAAATTATGATTATGTCCTGTTTTTAATGGTGCTGAGCTTGAGTCAATTCGCGATGTATACTTTAAATTGTTTACAGATATATATCGTCTCGTGATTCGATATTGTGAATAAGATGAACTCTTCTTAGAAAACTGTTCAATGTGGAAACTAGGGTCATTATAGCAAGAGCTGAAATATCTTCGAGAAATAACAGATATAGAAATGAAATTATATTTCAGTAGTTTGTCGAACAAACCAAATCACATTCGATGGAGTTCCGGAAGAGGTGGCAACTTTTACATGCATAGGCAGTATCACTGATAAACAAGGGGTATTTGATGCAGGTGTGAAGGCACAGGTTATAAAATCAAGAACACCATTCCTAGTACTGAAGAACATATGGGACTCAAAACAACTGTCGGGCAACACAAAAATCAGAATTTTTATTACAAATGTCAAGACGGCTCTACTGTACGGAGCTAAGGGTTGGAAAACTACTACAACCATCATCAAAACTGTAGAGGTATTTATAGAAGGTTGTCTACGCAAGAAACTATATATCCGTTGGCTAGATATCATCAGAAAACCCTACTGTGGGAGAGAACAAACCAGCTTTCGATTGAGAAAATTAGAAAAAGACGCTAGAGGACGATAGGACACATTGCGGAAATCATCAAACTGCATTATGAGGCGAGCTGTAACTTAAAATCCACAAGGCAAAAGGGAAAGTGTCGGACCGAAGCACATATTGCGCCGAGAATCGGAGGCAGATATCGGAAGAACATTCAACAGTTATGTGAAATTTATATTCTTGGCAGCAAAATCCGTTGAACAAATGTACTCATCTAAAGTCCTTACGACAATTTTAACTGGAATATGTCCAAATAAATCACGAAATCTTAGACCCTCAAAGACCAAAATCCATATTTAATGATCCCAATTATTTTATGTTTAAGCCTATAACTTACTTACTTACGCCTGTTACTCCTCGTGAAGGAACATAGGCCGCTCACCAGCATTCTCCATCCAACCCTGTCCTGGGCAATCTTTCGAGCTCCTTCCAGTTGTTATTCATCCTTTCCATATCTGCTTTTATTTCCCGACGTAATGTGTTCTTTGGCCTTCCTTCAGGATTCCAAGTTAGGGCTTGTCTCGTGATGCAGTTTGACGATTTGCGTAGTGTATGTCCTATCCATTTCCATCGTCTTTTCCTAATTTCCTATTCAGCTGGAAGCTGGTTTGTTCTCTCCCACAAAAGGCTGTTGCTGATATGTACCTATAAAAATTTTTGCTCTGGTTGTTAGAAGGGGCATCGGCCTCATGGCTTCCGAAGGAACTCGGTTTTCACCATGAAGCGTCATAATTCTTCTAAATGAAGACCTTCTAACTTTAAGGGCAGAGTTTAAATGGTTTGAATAATTTTTTCTGGTAAGCGTTTTTTTAGCGAGTTAGTTTTCTACGGGATGGGGACGCTAACCCCATGCCCAGCCCTCCTCCTTTAACCGGGCTTGGGACCGGCAGTAACTCTGAAAGAGCTACAGGCGGATTTTTATGCCTATAAAACCCACTATTAATAACTCACAATGATATTTTGGAAATTATACTGATCGTTTTCTAATGAATTTCCCAAAGTTGCTTATTAGGTGTAACTCCTTTCCCAGATACAGGTTTTCGTACTCAAGTTTGCACTACACTGTTTCTGTGAGCCTAATGATTATATCCGGTCGCTTAAACTGAGAGATAGGGTGAGATTCAAGCCTGTCACTCGCTGATCGAAATACAAGCATTTTAACCATTAAGCCCCTAAATTAATAATAATAAATAACTGGTATATACTGACAGTTGTGCACAGTTTTATGATAAAAACTTTCAGACGTCTAGAACTAAATACGGGGAACAATACTGTTAAGTTAATTAGCTTAATAACCACAGTGTATATTTCGATCCAAAGATAAATTAACTGACAAAGAGGATTAATCAATAACTGACAGGTAAGAAATAAACTCACCACATATAGTAATGATGAACTGAATAATTTTATGAGTGAAGTGCCCAACCACAGAAATCCACTGGGAGTTTAGTAATTGGAAACAACTCTAATTTTAATCCTTACATCACAAGTTCAGAAAGTAATATCATGGAAAAATTGTGCCTAACACAGATAACTTTTAATTTATTAGTGAAGAAGTGTTTGAGTAATCTACGAAACTCATATCCTCCAATTACTTATGATATTATTTCTGTATCCAGCATTTGGTATAAAAACACATTTTATCAATGAAAGACTGATTCATTAAGATAATAATTTAGTCTTTTGTTTTGATACAATGATCAATTGGAATGTTAGAAGCCTACAACATTAATTTCTTTTTTCAAAGGATCAATGAAATTTAATCATATTTTAACAAGGAGAAATTATATAACTATATCTGTCGGTCATAGACGGTTAATGATTTATTTAGTAAATTATTCATTAATTAATTGATGTAAAACACTACTGAATTCAATTTATGCATATCTGACTGTTAATAAAAGTTATTAACCAGTGCAAAAAGTGGTTTATTCAGATATTATTTTGATTTATTTTGGGAGTTAAATAAATCCTCATATAATGTCTTCACGCTCTTGATTGTGTCATGTGATTTATGGATCCCAGTACCAAGTACTAAGTCAGTTAAGTATTCTTCAGATGCAATAGATTTTCGTTTATTCGCGGGTTTCGATTAACAATCCCGTCTAGAGATAAGTTATCACTCGACCATATCATATAACTCATGAGACTGGGAAACTTAGTGATAGCAGTTTGAATCCCATAGGGGAGATCAGTACGGCTTGTTGACGAGTTGCCAATTAACATACAAACTAGGTTCAAGTTTTCCATTCGATTACTTCTAACTAAATAACATTAAAAACCCCACTTCACCGAATTCGATTTCGGCGACTACAATCTGACTAGTTTAAATCGACAAGTATTTGAAAAGTATTAAAATAATATAAACATGATAAAGTAATACACAGTAAAAAAGTTACTTGATCATATTGCACTTGTAAGTTTTCACGTTGATGATTTAATTCATCAATCTGTTTTGTGATAGAATTGATATTCTTTTTAAGAATTTTTAAAGTCTCTTGTATTTCTAGAAAATATAATTACACAAAAATATTTTTCAATAGAACAAAATAATGGATAGAAACTATTTAAGTTTAGTTTATACAAGTTGTCAAACTGTTTAATTCATTTACAAGTTATCCAGCTATATGTACACTAAAAACGAATTCAGTATAGAATAATAAAAAATGAGTGGTATGAATTAAGTGATACAAAGTAGTTAAATATAAATTATTGGTTGATAGTGGAGGAATAAATTTCGAAACGGTTGGTCAGTGATCCTTGATTTGTTAAAACACTCATCGGCTGTGATAAGAAAGAAAACTGATTGTCAAGTTGAGTCACTTCAGAAAACCTACACATACTTATCCGGTTACAAAAAAGGTGCTAGGATGGGATGTCAGTCAGCTACAACGTAGAACTAGGCATGTATGCATTGGTTCAAGTTGCCACACCTCATTAGCACTACAAGATGAACAACGAATTCATAGAAGCAGTTACTTCTATGATAGTAAAAAAGCATTTCATATAAGGATATGATACAAGGAGAAAGAATTAGTTCGTAGAAAGAAAGGTATAAAATAATCTCATGGTTTAGGACAAAGAGTGTATACACCTACGCCATTGTGATCGATTCTGAGCCTCCAACCATTAGCTACGATAGTCATGCGGACCCCAACCAAGTAGTCTGCACCTACCAAAATGGTTCAGACTAGATGCTCAAGGACTGATGCCACGTTTTGGTTGGGCCACTCCCAACTTTCTTCCAACCGTGCCCAACACTAGTCAGCATTGCGCGTTGTGGTAATCGGTGTTCAGGCATACGTAATACGTGGCCCAACCATCTCAGTCGATGAAGATTCATAACCTCATCAACTGATTTACCATCATTCCCTAATACCCTGTGTCTAACCTCACTATTACCTACCGGGTGATTCCAGCAGATGTGAGCAATATTTCCAAGACATTTGAGATCAAATACTAGGTTGGCAAAAGCCAGACGAGCTTTTCGAATCTGTGCTGAGATTTTATCAGACACCAACCTATTATGGCTTATCAAACTTCCAAGATAAGTGAAGTTGTCAACACGTTTGACTACTTCACTCCCTATCCTCAGTTCAGGTGTTGATGCAGACCAGTCCTGAAGCAACAACTTGCATTTAGAGGGAGAGAAGCGCATTCTAAACATTCTGGTATTGTTGCTTAGTGCTACCAAAAGAATCTGTATTTTATCACCGTCTTCACCAAACAGGACTATGCGTATCCTAAGTCAATAATCGGACCTCCTGGTAGTACGATGGGATGAATAGCTTGAGTTCATTTAAAAGTTGACTTGTCGCTGATTAGACTTTTTTAACTATTTGAAGATTTATTCGGATTAATCATTTGATACGGTCCTGTGAATAGGAATTCAAAAACTTTGCATCATAATTTTTTTTAGCCATGACTACTGTTGTATTACGTTTGTCAGTATTGCCAACTATAAAAGTTCTGTTTCCTTGTGTAGTTTCGTTCTCTAAACAAGACGGTTTATTCACGAGCTTTCATTGCTCTTCTGAACAGTATCATCAGCACAAACTTCAAATAAAAGTGAAGTATTCGAAATTTATTCACACATGACTAACAGCTTGTCTTATCAATATTGATCTCGATTGGATATTATTTGCCTTCAACCTGTCACTGCCTGCATCTTTATTTCGATTATCTCTCCCATTCGACTTGATTACTGATCCTATGTTTGTCCATGATTTTTCTGATTGGTTAATAAATCGAATCGATTTCGATTTATTGATTGATTGCTAATTGATCGGAGTGTCGAGCTTCTAAAAATCTTCTGGTATTCTTAATGTTCTCTATCCAAAATATCGACATGAACATGTGTCCATAATGGTCCACATGGATTGGTATAAGCAAAGAAACATCATAGTGTTTGACCGCTAGTTGATGTATTACACTTGTTCAAAACCAGAACATAAACCACCAATATCACTTCAACCAATCTTACGCAAACCCAAGGATAAAATAACAAAGAAGAAAAACTGAACATCAAATACAAAATAAACTATTCCGATTTTGAACAATACTACATCGAACAAGGTGGGAGCCCCCTTCATTTTCGCCTGCATGAACAACAATTATCGGCCAAACACCATGTTTCTTTGCTTATACCAATCCATGTGGACCATTATGGACACATGTTCATGTCGATATTTTGGATAGAGAACATTAAGAACACCAGAAAATTTTTAGAAGCTCGACACTCCGATCAATTAGCAATCAATAAATAAATCGAAATCGATTCGATTTATTAGCCAATCAGAAAAATCATGGACAAACATAGGATTAAATCGGCAATAGTAGTATATGTTATCTTCAGTAACCATCAAATGGGTATTAAAAATAACAAAATAATCCAAAAGGGCTGCTCCAACTATAAAGAAAAGCGAGTAGCTAGATCTCTCTACATATATTGCTCAATCATACTGCCCTTTATAGAAAAGAAAATCTTACCATCCAACAAACGTGGACCAATTATCAAAGCTACCATATCTGACTCGACTTACGTCTTATATTACCACATATGCAATCAAAATACAGCCATTATATTTCTCACAAAAATCACCTCAAATAAAATCTTCATCTGTCATCAGATTTTTATTTTCTTCTTTGAGTCATATACATCTCAGTACCCATTCTCTTTTAAATACCAGTTTCCGTAGATATAATAAACATAATAATGAACATGGCACAAGTTCATGAAATCACTGACAAGTGAACTGAGTCATGTTGGTAGGTGTAGACTACCTGGTTGGGGACCGCGAGATGACAGCAACCGATGGTTAGAGACCCTGAATGACATGGCTCAAAATCGTTTGCAATGGCGCAGGTGCATCCACTCTCTGTGTTCTCCCAAATTCTAATCTTCTGAATTCTTCATGTCCCTTTTTTCCTCTTTCCAAATTTCTTTCACTGGATTATACTCTTTAAATAACATCTCCAAACCCTAATCTTCCCGATTACTGCTTATACTCCTATTACCTCTACCACTACGGGATTTGAATCGACAAGTGCATCTCTGTGCTAATGTGGTGTGGCAACTCGAACTGATGTACGTACGTACAAAGTTCAACGTTGTTACTGACTGAGATATAATAAACTGATATAAATCTGAAGTAAGGACTTCAAATTGAACAACAATCTTAACAAATCAATTATATATTGATTATCTGAAGTAAATTCACGATGTAGAAAGTACGAATGATCCGTTTACTAAATACTGATTAAGCTTTCGTTAAGAAGTAATGTTACGTGAGTTAAATGCAAAGTATATAGTGCTTTAAATGGGAACTGATCATACTCTACACACAAAAAAACTCGACAATTATGGTAAAGAATTAGGAAATAATTTCAAACAAACAACAAAATGCACACCTTGTGTTTTAGATGATGATGAATCCATTAAGATGAACAGTTTTCAAATAAAATAGTACTGAAATTATCAATGAATTTAAAATGAAGAAAATTAAAGATTATCATCAAATAAAGAGAAACAAAATTACACTACGTCAAACTGTACTTTTTTCCCTATCTAACATTAAGAATTTAATTTGTTTACTAAGAAGAATTACCTGCATCAAAATATTTGTACCTGATAACTAATAGTGATTAAAGTTAGGAGCATAAATGATTGAACATTAACATTTCGAAGTTTCGTCACAAAACCTGACGATCCTAAGTTTGATCCTTAGCGAGGAATCTTATGCTAGGATTAGAAAGCTACTCAGTAATTCCTAGTTTTTAACGGTTGACTAGTCTGTGATGTGAAGTATGAAATACACAATTGAATGCTGTTTCTTATCAGGTTTAAGTTCAATCCTGTACGGGATCATAGATGAAGAGTGTTAAAGAGTTCCGAAACCATAAAAAATAGTTTTCCAGTGCTTTATGGCTTTTTGTAACAGTTCTCTAAGTGATAGGATTTCGTGATCCAAATCGTCCTGAAATTTTATTAAAATATTTTAATCATCAATCAACTTAAAGAATACGTTTCTCTAACCACAGGATACCTCAACCATAACTAAAATTCCTGATTACATTGTACCAGATTTTCGAATCTTCATATATTTTTGGGAGTTAAAGGTATATATGTTAATAAGGCAAACTGAAAAACTATCACTTAATTACTAAGTCTTGCTGATGGGTAAAAAGATACTATCCATAAGTTGTGGTGAAAATCCGACTGAGTTGATTAATGAAACACAGTTTCATGATATATTAAAGTACTACAATTATAAAGCGACAAACTATGGATTGTTTTGTGACATATTTCGAACAATTCTACTTTACGTAATTAATCTATCAAATCTATATTCTAACTGATCACGCACACAATAACAGAAAGTGACATATGTTTATGTCACTTAAAATAGGTACAGATAGAAAACTTTAACTGTTAACTTTTATTCCTTAAATATATTTCTACTACCTGTCGGCTTAGTGACTTTAAGATGAATAACAGTTTGAAATTACCTGTAATTGAATAGTATGATCGTCTTATATTTTGTAATAACGATCATGTTACAGAGAGTATATTTGTCTTTTGACAAATATTTCGGTGTTGTTACCTAGGGGGTAGATAACATGTAAATATAGGGACAGTACGTCGACTTACTGTTTAACACTAGTAAAGTTACTCTCATATCATGTAAAAAAGGATCTATACTTCACTCCCGCTGTATATGTCAGAATTGGTTACTAGTATTTAACACTAATTATAATTTGAAAAACACCTAGAGTGGTTGAAAAACAATATGGGCAAATAATGGTTGAAAATATACGTGATCAAGATTGGGAGATTTCGAGGCAAACCCATAATACTTAAACGGATTACTAATTCAAAAAAACAATCAAAACGTTTTTATTGGTTAATGACAGATCGTGGCTAAAACCATCTTGATATTGAAGCACTTTTTATAATCCACCCCAGTAAGTAGTATTCCTGTTGGATACTAGCTAACAATGAAATTCAGTACACATGTTTCATTCTAATTGGGACTTGCCAGTTGGATATCCCTGCACCCCAGCGTTAACGCTCACATCGAGGACCTTTAACTTGAAATACCAACCTGTTTTCCACTGAGTCCAGACAGCCGCTACATTTCGTCAAAGGTATGCATTTTATTTGTATGAGTTTGTATTTTTCTATTGTTTGGTTTAAGGATTGCAAGTTATTGTGAGTGCAGGAAATTTAAATGTATAGATAAAATGAAATGTAGATTTGAACCTGGCCTATTATTTATGTCTCGGTAGATGAGATAAACATTTATAGTAAACATGTATAAATGAAATTTTTTTTAACTCTCCATAATCCGTCAAGAAAATATCACCAGTACAAACAAGGGTCGCTAACGACCAACCCGGATGAAGGTCAAAAGAAAAAACTGTCAGAAATATGTAGAGGTATTCGAATAGTTTACTTCTATCTAAAGATTGCGCTGATGTTGTCCAGAAGAACAATGAAATCATGATTAAACCACTCAGATCAGAACACGAAGCTTCACCAAAATCATTCCCCTGAGCTACAAATCTTTATCACTATCTCAGAATAAATATTAGTCGATAGATCACATCATGCAATAGATATTAATATCAAAAGACACACATCAGTGGTGAGTTTTTCAAAAATATATATTGTGATCCCTTAATTTGAATTAATATATATATATATATATAGATCTTTACAACAAATATCCAAAGTGCATTGATGAAAGAATAATTTATTAATAACAGTTCATCTCAACAGTTGAAACATTGTAGTGGAAAAAATATATTCAGTGACCAAGTGACGTATACATATATCACAGTGTTATTTCACTAAATGCCTACAAAACAAAAAAGAAACACATTTTCACACTGATCGTTTGCCAAAATTAATTTCGGAAGTAAAGAGCCTGAGAACGTACTTATTATTGTAATTGAACCTAATGACTAAACAGTGACGTCTTTAATGAAGTTTCGATACGAATACAAAAAATCCATTTGTCCAATTGCTAACATAGGCTGCTTGTATCATAGGTGTATATACGATTACTATCCACGTTTGTGAAAGTTAGCCTAGAGATAACATAACAAGAATTTGAATGAAAGGATTTTTAAAGCATTGCTCGAGTATGGTGAGATCTTTAAGTGGATATGCTGAAAGTAAGCAAACAGTTTGGAACCTGTGGTATATATGTCTAGCCAAAAGCATACATTACTGAATAACCCTGACTAGAATAGAAGCAGTTTGTAAGAAGATAGAGGCGACCAAATGAAGATATGGGACCGGGACATGAAGTGATTATCTGTTGATATGAGCCAAATTAGATATGGATTATGATTAGTCGTGGAATCCGGGAAGTGCGTTTCGTCCAATGTCGGAAACGTCAGCTGAATGTGCCTGCATCCCAGAGTCGACGTTCATTCCGGGACTCGAACCCAGTGCCATTCTCAAGCACCATCGCGTTTTCCACTTAACTACTGAGTTCAGATAGCCACTAGCTTGTGCAATGGGGTGAAGTTTAACTCGTTTGTATTGGTTGTTTTAATCTTCCCATTGGTGTTTGGAACTACAACAGATCGGTATCTTCTTGGCGTACATGCATCCTGTGCGGATCGTCTCTACATTGCTTTAAGTTACCAGTAGTCAACTTCTTGTTCAATGTATTTGATAATAAGTACGGGAATCATTTCCCCAAATAAAATACTTTGTAACTTGTGATTTTTTTGTCAGTATACATAGTGCCAAGTAAATGGTAAATTACAAGATAATTTTCAATTGGCCAGACAAAGTATTCTCTGTCTATCAGTTATAAATAACTTGAAGCCCCATAAAAATATGCATCGACCCGATTGGCCACACCACATTAACACACTAAAATAAACTGGTCACGATGAATAACAAAGTAGTATGAATAGTTGTAGGATTTTCAACAATAAAAATAAATAATCGAGAATATGACTCGAGGATGAATAATGAGAATAAAAAGTACAAAGTAATTTGGTGACATAAGATCTATGAACAGACAAAAATTGATTATGACATAACTCCAGCCGACTGATTTCAAGTCATGTCTCCTAATAGTGGTCACCATAATCAAGTGGACACCAACCACAGTCCTCATTCACCAATGTAGCTCAGAATAACAGTCAATGACTTCATGAACTCGTGTCATATATTGGTTTGGAAACTCTTAGATTTCTTCTAAACTAATTTATGCCTGTAAGTATCATCTAATCAGTTAAACATACTTAGACTATCTAGACTGTAAGGGTGTTTTAAATCCATTTCCTTGAGTTCGGTAACTGACTAATCAAACAAATGAAACAGTTAGTTGATAACCACATTATCTTAATCTAGATAACATTTCCTGAGCAGTTTACATTGTGTAATGAAAGTTACTTTGTGACATATATCAATATTTTACAGCAATGTGTCAAAAGGCATTATACACAGATTTTCAATGGGATGATTTTTATTGGCTTTATGAATAAACAGAACCTTAGAAAAATATACGGAAAGAATAATGTATGAAGTGTTCAATTGATATTTTTTATCTAGATTTAATGACAAAAACAGTATTGAGACAATTGAACTTGTATTTTACTTTCAGAAAGGTTTGTCAGCCCCACAATAACAGTTACCCAGTCCCCCCTGAAAATTGATTAAGAAATCTGTAATAAATTATAGAGTTGACAAGTCTTCATATGAAATCTCAATGAATTTCTAACAACATACCTTAGTGATCTTCGTCGATGTCGCTTTTTAGGAGAATTGATATTTTGTTCAGGAGTCTTTGGACATGAATGTGGGGATTGAGTAATTTTCTTTATTTTGCGAAGTTGAGCTGGAATAATTAAAGAACGTCTCTTTTTCTTTTTCGGCAAAACTACAGATTCACTGAAAGATATAAAATGTTAACTATTTCATTGTACATATATATAAAACAATAAAAATACCACAACTTAATGTAGCTTATTCATTAAGTATAAATTCATTAGCTTGGTTTAAAGTCGTATTGTTTACGTGAAAATTAAGGACACTACTCGATCTTCCAGAGACAGTGGAGTTGAAGCAGGAGGCCTGATGGTATAAAGTTGAACACCTTAAACATCAAGCCACCATTGCGTTTATCGTTTGCAGTTTAAGTCGATTAATAGAGTCACATATGCCGAATATAATGAAAACTGGTCAGTATTTATGGCCCTAAATTTAGAAGAAAAACTAGAGACTATACAGCATTATTCTTGTTGTACACTAAGTTTGAGAAGTGATGCATAGGTAGAAATAATAACACTAAATGTTAAGGGAAGCGAAAATTAAGAAGAACAGGGTTAGAAGAAATATGTCAGAGAATAAAAACTATGAAACAGTTTTATGTCCAAGATTTACAGGATTAAAAATGAGTGTATTTGAACTAGTGCAGCCGAGGTTTCAAAATATTGACTATTGCAATGCTTCCTTGCACGATTCAGAGTAACACTATAGTTTGATGGACTGATTCAATGTCTTTGTATGGCTAGTCTTAACTCTTTCCCAGTCTACTTTTATATTAGACACTATAGTGAAAAACGATAGGGGATTAGGTAGAATACGTAAAAAAAGCCCTCTTAGTCACCATAGTCAGTGAAGTAATTGACTGAAATTTTGCAAATTAAAATTCTTCTCTCAGTATAAAGTTGAGAACAGAGAAATATTTTCAGACATATGTTCACTAATAAATCCCACCATGGAATATTGATTGACCATAGAATCCACAAAATTATATGATCGCAATAACATCTGACTGCATATTTTGCAGTAGGAAAAATATTATAGCAAAATTTATATTATTTAAGTATTCAAAAAGCTATCAACACGGAAAACAAATCTGTATACTTTGAGGATGAAGGTGATTGAGCCAGTGGGCTTGACCGCTTTTGAGGTTTATTACAACATATTGGTAAGTTTATACTATCGGGTGGTTGAAGAGATTTATGCAAGTCTTCAAACGATTCACTATTTGAAGATACTTCATTCACATCAGGGGATACAGAAACAAGAGGGTTTGTTCCTGGAAAAATCTGACATCCTACAGAACGTTTAGATTGAGGTGAATGAGATACACCTATTGATCGATTCAACGAATGTTTGGAAGACTGTTCCAGAGATGCAATCTTTTTCAACTGGAATAAAAATGTCATCGTTGTAATGAATATAAACAATAATTAAAAAGTTATCAATTCGAGAACACTCTATCTACTTGCAATAGAGATTTCAATACAACATAAAGAGGTAATGAACTATGATCTACTCAAAAATTAAAGTAACTTGAACTTACTGATGCAAACTGGAGCCACAAAAAGAAAGTGGTGGGTCAGTAATTGGAAACATTTAGATTTCAATCAGTAAGTAACAAGCTCAAACCCCATTCCATCTACTTCGATCTGACCAGCCTGGTAGATCACTTAACCTCACAAAAAGTGATTCATAGCCAACTACAGAAACCTGTACATGATAAATTAGTTGCAGTAGGAAGTAATCAGCCTTATTAGCAAGTCGTTACACAATGATTTTCGGAGATTGATCACCAAAAGTCAGCACCTCATTACCAACATAAGGTTTTTGTTAAGTACGGTGAAATACAGCACAGGTTTTTTAATTCAAATTAATGTAAACAATCTACACTATATATATATATATATATATATATATATATATATATATATATATATATATATATATATATATATACGCGGATGGTGCCTCTTCCCCTAACATTATGACCAAAAAAGTAGGTGGTCTTGTGTTTGGTCACAAATTTCAGTTCGGTCGTCTTAATTTCATCGTTTGAGTACATGCTCATATATTCGTCCTTAAGCCACATTTCAGGTATGATGTATTATAATGCTGCCCAAACTAAAATAGGTGGAGCGATGCACAAATATGTGACCTGGTAAGTAAATGTAGGATACCTTAACTACCAAATTATCTCCTTAGTAAGTTAGAGCTGGCATGTATATGTTTGTTTGTCATTCTTATGTTAGTGATGTTGCTACCTTGACGTGGTGGTCGGGCTTGCCTATCGTGATGAAGCAACCGAGCTATACTGGCTGGAACAACCGTTCCTCAAGGTCCTACCATGTCAGACAGGTCGGTTGAAGAGCGGTAAGACTAAAAGCAACAAACCCAAGGTCCGAAGGCGAAGTCGTACTGCTGACTGTACAGAGGTGTGACAGCAGTAAGGTGTTTCCTTCAGACAACCAGCATGACAGCGATGCTGCCTTCCCACAAGGAGGGGTGGGGTTAGAAAAGGTCGACCCTAAAAATGTACACCTCACCTTACCTCACGGATTTCCGTCTCCGGCGGTAAGGCCCTTTGAAGAACGGAGCTAACACGTCAAAAACCTCCCACAAAAAGGCCGTGCACGACCGGCCTCAAGCAGTTGTCCCTTGGGCACTGCGGTCACGCTCTCAGGTCACTGAGACCGCCTCTAATCCAATTTCCTTTTCAGGTACCTCCAGAAGAACCCTTCCACGGTGTGGGCAACCGGGAAGTGAAAACCGCCCTCATACCTCTAACAGCACTCAAGACCACTGTATTCATAATCAACCTTCCTCTTCAATTCCTATTATTCCTCCTACATCGACTTTCAACTTTAAATTTCCTCTCCCGGCTTCCACCTCAAGTGTCACCATAGCCAACGATTCTAGTGCGCAAAATACTGTCCCAGGTCTACTGAAACCTCGCTCCAAACTACACATTGGAGCCTTCAACGTACGAACCCTATGTCAAATCGGTCAGCAGGCTTCCTTGGCTAAAACCCTAGAGTCTCTTACCATTGACGTGTGCTGTGTCTCCGAAACACGCATACAGGATTCCAGTGTGGTCATTCACTTGACCTCATCTCGGCAAAACGGAAAGCCAACGAGGTACACCCTTCGTGTATCTGGTGACCCGATGGCAAGTTCTCGTGGACTGGCAGGTGTAGGCATAGCACTAAGCATGAGGGCCGAACAAGCACTGCTAGAGTGGATCCCCGTCAACAGTCGTCTATGTGCTGTTCGGCTGAACGGCTACGTAAGAACTCGGAAGGATAGGGACACACGTCGTTGCCTTTTTGTCGTTTCTGCCTACGCTCCCACTGACTGCAGCTCAGATGATGTGAAAGATGAATTTTACACCTGAACTAAGGATAGGGAGTGAAGTAGTTGAACGCGTTGACAACTTCACTTATCTTGGAAGTCTGATCAGCCCTAATGGGTTGGTGTCTGACGAAATCTCAGCACGGATTCGAAAAGCTCGTCTGGCTTTTGCCAACTTACGTCACCTTTGGCGAAGGCGAGATATCCGTCTATCAATAAAAGGACGAGTATACTGCGCGGCAGTTCGTTCTGTTTTAATTTACGGCAGCGAAACATGGCCCTTAAGAGTAGAAGACACTCGTAAGCTATTAGTATTTGACCACAGATGCCTTAGAAATATTGCTGGCATCTGCTGGGATCACCGGGTAAGTAATAGTGAGGTTAGACGCAGGGTATTAGGGAATGATGGTAAATCAGTTGATGAGGTTATGAATCTTCATCGACTGAGATGGTTGGGCCACGTATTACGTATGCCTGAACACCGATTACCACGACGTGCAATGCTAACCGGGGTAGGGGATGGTTGGAAGAAAGTTAGGGGCGGCCAGACCAAAACGTGGCATCAGTGCCTGAAGTCACTAACTTCTAGTCTGAGCCATGTTGGTAGATGCAGACTACTTGGTTGGGGTCCGCGTGACTTTCGTAACCAATGGTTGGAGACTCTTGGTGACATGGCTCAGAATCGATCACAATGGCGTCGGTGTATACACTCCCTGTCTTCCCTTAAACTAAAAGATTAAAATCACTTCATTCTTTCTGTCTACGAACTAATTCTTTCTTCCTATACTATATCCTTATTGCAACCTTTGACCTAACCACTCCTATGAATCCGCTGTTCATCTTGCTGTGCTAATGAGGTATGGCAACCAGGACCGATGCACATATGTGCCTGGTCCTACGTTGTAGCTGACTGACTGACTGATATATATATATATATATATATATATATATATATATTCAACAATGCAAGATAAATTTATCAGCGCCCCACTATTTGTCATCCTCACTACGGAAAATGTTAAAGTATCTATTGCGTAAGACTTTACAAGATTTACTTACTTTTATGGGATCACATTTTAAACTATAAAATGTCGATTGTTAGTACTGATTTTTAATGTATATTGTTAAGTTTTCCTTATTTTATAAAAGTATTGTCTACATATATTAGACAATCTCCAAGATTCCTTATAAAAATCCGTAATTTAGCAAATAGAGTAAAACTCAGAGTGGTTAAGCACAAACACATACATACAATCTAAAAATGAGATTTAGTTTCTCGAACATTCGGATTCCAGCCAAATGAATTATTCATTTACTTTCATTCACTAATGATAAGAAGTACTAGTTCTTCATACAAAAAATGCTGCTCATAACGTATTGATAATAAAGTTTTAAGTAACCAATGCGTTGCATTAAAAATGAGTTTTAACGCTATAAACATGATATGTGAAAAAAGATATAGAGATGAAACAGTATTACTACAGCAAACTAACTTACTGCAGAACTTAGCTGGTGCCTCTGTTGTACTACATAACGTGTAAGATAATTTATTCGTGCTGACAATGACTTGATTTCAATTTTCATAGACTTAATATAATTTATAACATCTAAGTTAAGAAAAATTCCAGAGAAAATTCATGTATCTTCATTTAATTATAAGTAATAAGAATTTCAAGTGATAGTTATGTCATAATTTATGAAAACATCAGATTTTAAATAGCAATATACATTAGTTTACTTTTTACCTATGAAATTATCAGTAGTAATTTAACGACAAATAGGTGAAAACAAGCTAAACGCAACCCAATATCTGTGGAGCGAGTGGTTTAGCAGTTGAAATAATCAATGTCCAACCATAAGGTAGCTAAAAAGTATTGAACTAAAAAGAACCACAAGAAAAGATGTGTAATCAGTGGAAGGTTGTTAGTTTAAAGCTTCACGAGTTCACTTAATCTGCGAACGAGAACAAGACTCAGTGACCAAAGACCAGTAATCTAACTATTGACGCGTCCCAGCCCCGCTATCTAAAAGAAGTCCAAGCTTGGTATGGGAAATATATTCTGCAAACAGCCAGAAAGCGAGCGAGCAAGCAAGCAAGCACTCAAACACAATTTAAAACGTATATATATATATATAAATATATATATTCGATATTGTCATAGTAAAATGTTTTTTAAACATGACTCATTAAGTTCATCAATCGACAGGCATTCAAATATTTAATCGATAAGTTCATCATTTGACTTCCATTCAAATATTTAAACATTTAATCGATAAGTTAATCGATATGATAAAATTACAAATATGAATTTTGGGGATATACGGTCCCAACAAAGGTAATCGAAAAATACAAACAATGTGATCCGATGGACGTAATACAAGACAAAAGTGGGGTTCTTTTGATAGTAGGGACTAGATTGCTAAAGTTTATGTCATCTTTGGAAAAGGACCGACATTTTAATAATCCGAACCAAACGAAAAAAACACTAGGGAGAAAGTTATTGATACAACACTAACTATGAGGTCCAACTACACTATATTGCTATTTCTTTTCCTAGTGTTCAAAGTTAGTGGAAATAATCAGACATGAGTAGTCTTAAAGCTGGCGTAATATGATTGATTTTGTAAGTGATTAATTCACCAAAAAACAAGTTAGACTACTAACTTACTTTCACTGATGAAATGGAAAGTGATAAGGACAGGAATGCAGGCGACCAAAATGCAAAAACATGTGTACAATATGGATTACAGTATATTAGTTTGAATAACAAAAGCTAACAAACTTAGAATCTATCCACCAATGAAGTATCCTTTGTTGCTTCGTTTGGATTTATTGGAATTTCTGTCGATCTCTCTCAATTTTTGTTCTAACTTACGTGTCCGAGAAATACTAAATGGCGAAAAACATAACAAGGAGTTACTTTACGGTCAGTGAGATAACTGAACACTATACGGCAGATAAATATTCCAGACCACAAAAAACCATTCTGCCTCTAAAAGTTCCGAACATTAAGAACTCTTCATGATAATTCTGCGTGACCAACCTTAAGTGATTGTTCTTTAGACTCCCCTGTCATCCTTACAGGCTGTCAAGACCAAAAATAGCTCCATTTTCCCTTCAGATGGCTGATGAAAATGTGTTGTTTAATCGTATTAGCAATAAGCGAATGATAATCTATCATATAACTCTAGTAGCACTTGAGATAACCGCGTTTTCTGAATGGACCAGTGACCAAAAATTTAAAAATACATTTTCCCTGAATACTTAACCACCAGCAGTACATGAGTGAAAGGGAATTTATTAAATACTCAATAAAATCCAAACATAAAAACTTTGTTTCCACTCATATGATGCAAAAAATCTAAAAAAAAGTTCTCAATATGCTTACCTGATTTTGTGGGACCGGACATTTCTCTACTAAAATAATAATGAACAAAATTATTCAGACTTTCCAAAATAAGTTCTACTGAACATAAGCAATGCTGTTAAATATTAAATATATATAAGACTAGTGATTGGATGCAGATTTTGCCATCTTAACGTCATGGCGGTACTCAGTCTCAGATGGTTGTGAATTTTTCTTATGATTGTGTTAGGTGACAACTACTCAAAAAATCTTAATTATTATAACTAGCACTTAACCAATCATCTTAAATGTATTTTTAGTCCTACTAGGGTCATCGCCAAAAAAGCCTTAATTACGAAGACAGACTTCTCTACAGTTCGCCAAGAAAAAAAGGAAAGGAGTGGTTTGTTTGTCATAGTTGCAAATATATTAGCCTAATGCACCAACGTGTTAAATACTCTCAATCACGAAAAAATAATAACGAAAATATACTGCACAAAATTAGAATAATAAGGAATCAAGTTTCATTATTTAAGAGGTATTTCTAGAACATGTTTGATTAACATATCAGCATCACTCTATTGACAGTGAGGAATCCTTAGTAATATACGTGGTATGAAATCTATACCTTGAATTATTACAACACTATGTTCGGAACAATGGATACAAAAGCACAGATCTATGGTGAAGTGTGTGTTTAGGAGTTTTAAAAAATCATTCATAAACGCTTTAGTTAAAGTTTTACTTATGCTAGATTTGTATTTCTTTGTAACATGTAAATTCTGGTACCATATAGCACTAAACAAAATGAGCCAAACAAATGAAGTGGTGGTAATGTGGAATTAAAAAAGAAGGGTTACAAAAATAAGCTTTTGATAGAATGCACAGTTTAAGAACTGTCCTTTAAACCACGGTGTAATGTTACAAACTGGTCACCTCTCCATTTCTTAACCCAGTGCTAACGTTGGCAAATAAGTACAATATGGAAGTCGCTGGGAGAATATTGGTAACACAACTCTAAGCCACAAAAGTCAACGTTTTACGATTGTAACAATAATTGAAATATCGTTACTGAGACTACACATACTCTGTCAAATATCCTCATTATTGATATAATGTTGCTACTGGATGTGAGGAATTCGAAAGAAGCAGTGATCACAACCAGGGAGTCTAAATACCTTCAGCTTGGAAGAGCTTGTAAACCCGATCTTTTATTGCCAGAATAGCATCACAACGGCGCCGAAGATGGCCCTGATTGACATGAGCTCCCCCAATTTTTACTACGTAGATTGATCTATTCTGACACACCACTACCAGCACATACAACTACCCAGACACATCATCTGTTTGACTATTTTAACGATTCACCAAAAAGTGAGTAAAACTAAAGGTTTCTGTTAGTATTTTAGAGGTATTTGGCCTTTCGACCGTCCAAGCATATACTGCACTTACGGACGATAACAGAGTAAAAGACAAGGGGCGAGAATATTATGGTTTTGGAAACATCTCTTAGACCAGTTTTCAGCAACAAGTCATGGGGTATTTTTAGATCAATTTCTACCAACTAACGAAGTTACATAGCTAACAAAATTGCTTCAGGATTGGCATGAAGGTAGATAAAGTATTACATTCAGTCCTGTTTTTAGGGCAGTTATTAAGATATAAGGAATGGCGACAGACTGGTGTATATATGTGAATGGTCCAACGTTGTGGATGACTGAGTTGTTAAGATACTAGAAATGAATGTTTTCAACTAAATACAACTACGCAACCCATTGCAATGGAATTTTGGTTTAATCGTAGTCGGCTTAACCCTACACATCACATCGAGTATGCGGTAACTCTAGACGATGAATTAGTTGGTATTATTAACTTCAGCAAAAAAATAAATACCCTATGTAGAGCTCATATGAAAACTCTCAAACGTTGACAATACTTAGCTTACTCGAGGATGGATTATGAAATTTCAAAATAATCGTCAGCAGCGATAGTTAACCAGATGTTTCTCGAGTGAACACTTGATGTTTTCACCCAATTTAAACATTGTTGCAAACGATTTTATCTAATAAAAACATGTTTATCGGCAAACAAAGAAATACACAAGTTCAAATAGCATCGAGAAACATAACTGAAATATACGCCGAATCCACCCAAGGAAAGTTTGGAAGTATTCAATATCAATTTGGGATCCAATGAAAATGTTTAAGATGTCCAGGGTTTGAGGTTCCCATTAATTGTTTGTTGTGTTAGATAACGAGGTTGTTATAAAACCACATTTATGACATTCAATTGTCCACCAATGAACTCCATACTTGTGTCCCCTAAAGAACACCCCTTTTCGAGTACAGAACAATCGGACAAGGGATTTAATATGAGCATCAAGAGAATACCGACGAGGACGAGGTGATAAAAATAAGACGTAGGGGTAAACAAAGGATTCACTAGAAGTAAAAAGTACAGAATGAGATGAGGCTGAATGTGAAGAAATAAAGGTATACAATATCACTTAATCGTACAATTCCCCACCTATCGCTTTTATTTTCAGCCCAAACATCCTGCTGACATATGTTTTCCAATGCTGCTTACCTCTTTACGTAAGCCAGGAAAATGTACTAGCCAGTATAGTTGCAACAACTGCAGAAAGTTTTGATATTTTGCTTAGAACCTTGTACAGTAAAAATATATTCTTATATAACTCTCGTCAAATAGGGGGAGATATTTATGACATTTACCACAAGCTCCATATTCTTGTGATAATGCCAGTTAAAATGAGAAAACTGAGACTCGAAAAGATTCGCTCCTGTAAAGTCTAATCAGATTCCAAGTAAGTTCTGGGCGAAAATGTACATAACAATTATCTTAATATGAATACATAGGAAAGGATGTCAGAATAATATGAGATATGGAGCTAGACGGAGATGACCATTACTATACCATGTACTTTGGACATACAACTGTAACGCTCTGTGTCCAGCAATAAGGTACCTTGAGTACAACATAGGGACACAAAGTGGCTTAAGTGAAAAATACAAAAGGAAATGTAGGTCGACGACCCATCGAGCGCAAAAAGCGTGCTTACACTTACTACGGAAAGCTAGAGATAACAACCAGCAATGACACAGGCCTCAGATTAAGACAATTAAGTAATCGAACCTAGAAACCCGCCAACACCAAAACAAGCGCAGCAACCTTACTGAGCCAATTTCCAATACCAGCCATCCAACATCCAATATCTGAATCCAGGGTTGTATAAACTACTTGATTTCTTTGCTCACGCCTCTTATTATTTCCGTATGGTTCCATTTATTAGGCAATGTAAAATGGGTAGTAGTCTAACCATTCGAATACACTAATCTTAACTTGATGGTTACTTGTGGATTCGTATATTCTGTAATTCGAGTAAGAGGGTTTGTCCCAGAGCAGTATGATTTCTGGATATCAGCGGCTATTATATTACCAGGTGAAAAGTTTGTTGACTGGAATACAAAAGCATAATAATGCGGCAATTCAAGTGGCAAGCGAAGACGATTGTCTCAGGATTGTCTGCCTTGATGTAGGTGGGTAATGGGTGTCCTCGTCACTCCGAAATATCTCATTCATGGCCACGTTAAGTATGACTGTGCCACAGTCGCTGCTCCCGCATTTCTGCGCGGACAGTGATATTTCCAAATACAAAATAATGACTGGTCAGAAAATAATCTAAGTTTGAGGGTTTTAGTTCCACAAGTTTCCGGAGTTTGACAACACATTAATCAGAAACACGCTTTATAGTCGAAACGCGCTAACCCGGTGGAATTCGAAGTCAGAAGCGAAGAGGCTCAAAGATATATCTAACAAAATACTGATATAACGAGAAGTGAATAATCTAAGCTGGATAGCGGTTGTAGAATTGAAGCACGGAGTAATCACTCGTAACCTGGTGCGGATACACGACCAAGCTCCTTCATCTGAGTTAGACAAAACTAACGCGTTTGGCATCCGACGTATAAGACTTACAAATCTATCGATTTCGGGGATTTATTTGCCGCTACAGATCACTTACCCCCCTTGTGGGACAGTGATGACCCTAAGACATGGTCAGACGGAAGTTTAGACCCAACGAGTTTGTTGATGGCAAACATTCTTCTGATGGCTTGCTATGTTCAGCAGCGTTTGGTCATCTTTCCTTACTATAAGGGGCCATGTGATACAATATAGTAATGAAAAAGAGGTATAGTGAAAATTTCGGTTCCTCGTAAACTTCGTCGGTCTTTTCATCTTTTCCAGCCGTCTTGAAGGAGTAAAGAGGAGTATATGAGTACATGTCGAATTGAACTCGTACGTGCGTAAATATATCAAACGAACGGAGAAAGAGAAATAAACTTATATACATGCGTTTCGTAAATATGTAGAATTATGATCTACTTCGTTATTAGTGGTGCTGTGATAAGGGACCTAAACCTAAGATTTTGGAATTGTCATGATGTAACTGCCCAATATATTATTTTATTTTTATTTGTGTGGAATATATTGAAAAAATCGAGACGAAACAAAGTGCTATGCAGTGTATTGCGTGCAGTAATCGTTCAGGTGTCCTGGAAACATTACGTTTCATCCAGAACGCGTTGTTTTTAGTCGGTTGTCAGATACCAAAGAATTGTCATTGTGATTGAGGGTGAGGTTGTAGTGGCATTGGACCATAACCACACAATCCTCAAAGCTGAACACGAGACAACTCGGAAAATAGATACTCAATATTTAACGCGGAGAGATACCTAACGATGGAGAAGGCGGGAAGAATGTATTGAGTGAATTGGAGTTGATCAAATGGCATGACTCGACCATGCAGGCGTGGTCCCTCTGAACGTTACCTTTGTAAGATCCGTTTGGAAGGTTTTATGTGTTGGTGAAAATCCCTCCATGTATATACTTATACTTTATTCCTATTGATCACATTAGTTGTACATTGTTGTATTTTGATTACATTTGAATTGTTAATACTTGTATTTTTGTTATAGTTTTTGTTTTTATTACGCATTCACTAAGTTTGTGTTTCTTCCTGAACTGCATCTGCGTTGTTTTACT